CCTCACCTCCAAACGCCCGTGTCCGTCGTCGTTTCGAGTCCCGCTCGCCCTCACCTCCACACTACCGTAGGTCAGGATCAGTGGAGCCCCCCTCCCGCGGTGCCCGCAGAATCTCGCGTTCTCCGCCACCTCCTCCCCGCAGCCGTGACCTGTCTCGATTGCAGGGGCATTCTCGGTCTCCCCCGCCCCGCTATGGTCGCCCACAACGTCGCCCACCGTCACGATCTCCCCCGCCTCGCTATGGTCACCCACGACGTCGCACACCGTCCCGGTCTCCTTCGCGCTCCCCTATGCGCGATGACAGTCCGAGAGGCAGTGGGGGCAACAGGAGAGATTCGCGGTCCCCGTCGCTTCCCCCTCGTGATGGACCCAGATATGGGCGGGGACGTTCCGTTTCCACTAGTTCATCTATGTCCGTTAGCTCTGGAGAAAGGAGCAGGAGTAGGAGCAAGAGCAGGGACTAAGTTGGCGGACGGTGAATGTGGCGCGGAACCGCGAATGCTACGGACTAAGTATTTCTGATGCGGTGTGCATTGTTCCTGTGTGTTCTCTGAGTGCTTGGGCTAATCTCGCGTTTCAAAACCTGTTACTGCGTCTATGTATTTCATGTTGCGTCTTTTATTCACCAAAATTTTCGCGCTGATGTTGGTACCTGTATCCTCTAATTTATCGAAGGAGAGTTCTATCGTAGTTACCCTGGAAGTGCTGGCGCTCAAACAGACTTGGTCGAGAACGGCCGCGACTGTCACGTGAATTGTTGCCTTACCCCGATGCCACCACGATCGTGACTCGCGCAGGAATTAGAGCAGAAAAACTGCCGATATGTATTCTTAAAGTCCCTCAGCGACTACCAGCGGTGTCCGCCTTCAGTCGACGTCCTGGTAGAGAGAAACACTATGCGCGGCCCGGCAGGATCCACAGGTCGGACGCTTACTCGGCATGGAAGAAAATATCGAGGGGTCAGGCTGGCTTCTTCACTAACAGAGGTACGCCTGATGGCAGCATGCTGTACGGGACTCTGGTGAACGCTGACTCTCATCTACGTGGACGCAGAATGCCCCGCGTGCTGCTCCCAAGCTCCCCGCGAAGCCAAGCACTCGTTACACGAGCGTGACTCACGCGGAGGATACAACCTCTATCTCCGCAGGCGTGAAGGCCCTGCTCGACCGATCCAATGCTTACATTCTACCCGTGTATGCCCGCCCGCCGTTCGTGCTCTCGCATGGAAAGGGTGCATATGTGTGGGACACGGAGGGGCGCAGGTACCTGGACTTCAGCGCCGGGATCGCCGTGAATGCGCTAGGCCATGCGGACCAGGGTGTGGCTAACGTGAGTTCTTTGATGTGCACCTGCGACGCCGCTGCCTTGTATTCCTCTCTCCCTTCAAAGATGTTTGAGATCCGTCGACGTTGTGTTCGCGGACTCTGCTTCAAAAGTTGCTATTTGAGAAGCTGGTGTGCCTGATTTGCTGATAAGTTTGTCCGTGTGTAGGTGCTAGCATCGGAGGCAGCAACCCTACTGCACACAAGCAATGCGTACCACCATAAATGGGCGGGGAAGCTCGCAGAGCTCCTTGTGACGCTTACACAGCGGGAAGGCGGACTCGGCTGGGAAGGCGGATCCACCCACTCGTCTTCTAGTGGGAGTAGTGGTGCAAAAGTCTTCTTCTCGAACTCTGGCACAGAGGCGAACGAGGGTGCTCTGAAAATCGCGCGGAAGTTGGGCAAGGCGCGCTGGGCCGCGGCAACGGGTAAAGAGTGGGACGACCCTTCGTGCGACAAACACGAGATTGTCTGCTTCGAAAGTGCATTTCACGGACGTTCCATGGGAGCGCTGAGCGTGACCACAAATGCCAAGTATCAGAAACCGTTCACCCCTCTCATTCCGGGGATCAGGGTGGGCAAGCTCAATGCTGCAGATGATTTGGAGAGACTGGTCGGTGAAAAGACGTGTGCCGTGATCGTGGAGCCTATTCAAGGCGAGGGTGGAATTCATCCCGCCGAAGTCAAGTGGCTCCAGGCCCTCCGGAAGAAATGCGATGAAGTTGGTGCAGTGCTAATCTATGACGAGATACAGGTGAGCCAATGCAGCTGCAGTCTTCTCGTCCCACGCTCGTGTGGGCGATAATCACAATTGCGTTGCTGCCCCGGATCGACCGCTGACTGCTGCGAAATGACTTTTTGTAGTGCGGTTTGTATAGGACGGGTGACTTATGGGCTCATTCGACGTTGCCGGTTGATGCACACCCAGACATTGTGACGATGGCAAAGCCGTTGGCCAATGGGTATCCTATTGGGGCGGTTCTCATGCGAGATCATGTTGCTGAGACGATGACAGCAGGTATGACAGTGCCTGCGTTACGACGAGAAGATGCGCTGACAACTGGGACATGCGACAGGGACACACGGAACGACATTCGGTGGTTCGCCGCTGGCCTGTGCGCTGGGCTACTACGTGTTGTCGCGCGTGTCAGAGCGTCCGTTCGTCGCGAACATCGCAGAGACGAGCGCGTATCTACACGACCGTCTTTCGCAGCTGCCGGGGTGGTTTCCCGACATTCTACAGCCTGGCGTGCGCGGGAGGGGGCTGATTCTGGGCCTCGGATTCAGGGACGGGACGCACCCTGCGAAGCTGGTAGGGATGGCGCGGGAACGGGGGGTGCTGCTTCTGACGGCGGGGGCGGACGCGGTGCGCCTGGTACCGAGTCTGAACATCGGGCAGGCAGAGGTGGACGTTGCGGTGGATGTGATTGAGAGTTGTCTGGGGCACGGAGTAGCATGAGTATGGAGATAGAATTTGTATGCGAGCGCCGAAGAATGAAGAGACCCGGGCTCGGCTTGGTTGTCTCCGAGAGTCGGACGCGCATGGTGCGATGACCGTTTCGGGTACACGGGCGCTATCTAATCAGATGCGTCTGATTGGTCCGTGTGCGATGCCCATAAGAGGAAGCGGGCTCGTCTCGACGTCTCTGATTATTTCCCCCCCGACGAGTCACCATGGACAAGCTCTCCTCCCTCGCAAAGTTCAAGAACTCCTGCCCCTTCCTCGGCCACACAAAAACTTCCACCCTCCGTTCCCTATGCACCTCAGCCTCTCCTCGCTATCCGTCTCTCTCCCGCCTCACGGAGCGGGCGACCCAGTGCCCCGTCATGGGCCCTGCCCTCCAGGTCCGCTCTAACCAGATGGTCGCCGGCTACGCCAGCCTCGCGGGCACCGCAGAGTTCAAGCAGATCCACGAGCACAAGGGTGTCTTCCCCGTCCCCACCGGCACGAACATTGACAAGTGCCCCCATGCGTCCAAGGCGATCGCCGCCGCCCGCATGGCCGATGACCTTGCCAGAGTCGCCAAAGATAAGAAAGCTGAACCAGCTCACGCCGCAGCTGCACCGTCCACTTCCAAGGCGGCTGCTGCTGGCTGCCCATTCCACGCCGCTGCTAACGCTAAGCAGTCCACTCAGACTAGCGGATTCGACTACGAGAAGTTCTACGTCTCCGAACTCGATAAGAAGCACCAGGATGCTTCCTATCGCTACTTCAACAACATCAATAGGATGGCATCCAAGTTCCCCATCGCTCACACGGGCGATCCTCGGGATGAAGTTGAGGTTTGGTGTGCCAACGACTACCTTGGCATGGGGAATAACCCTGTCGTGCTTGAAACCATGCAGTCAGTCTAATTTTACCATGGTCATTGTAAAATCTTGCTGATTGACGCGGTCACGCACAGTCGCACACTGAACACCTACGGCCATGGCGCCGGTGGCACCCGAAACATCGCGGGTAATACCGGGATGCACCTCGCCCTCGAAGAAGAGCTCGCGGACTTACACCGTAAACCCGCTGCGCTCGTATTCTCTTCGTGCTATGTCGCAAATGATGCGACGTTGACGACGCTGGGATCCAAACTGCCTGGATGTGTGTACTTCTCCGACTCGATGAATCATGCTTCCATGATTCAGGGCATGCGTCACTCTGGCACTAAGCGCGTCATATGGAAGCACAATGATTTGCAGGATCTCGAGAGCAAACTTGCGCAGTATCCCAAGGAGACACCTAAGATCATCGCTTTTGAGAGTGTGTACTCCATGTGCGGTAGCATTGGACCCATCTCGGAAATCTGCGACCTGGCAAAGAAATACGGTGCTTTGACGTTCCTCGACGAGGTGCATGCCGTGGGCTTGTATGGGCCTCGTGGAGCCGGAGTTGCTGAACATCTTGATTGGGAGGCTCAGAAGCGCGCCGGCCAGAGTCCCGACCCCATCAAGAACTCCGTTATGGATCGCGTCGACATCATCACCGGTGAGCTCTTCTGTCTGTTTCGCTTTAACCTTCAGCCGTCTCACTATTTCCTTAGGTACTCTTGGCAAGGCATATGGCGCTATTGGAGGTTACATCGCTGGCTCCGCGGATTTCGTTGACATGATCAGGTCTTATGCCGCCGGTTTCATTTTCACAACATCTCTCCCACCTGCGAACGTTGCCGGCGCGCGAGCGAGTATCGCGTATCAAAAGGAATATCTCGGTGATCGTCAGCTTATGCAGATTAACGTTCGGGACCTCAAGTCACGCTTCGAGGCACTTGACATTCCCGTCGTACCCGGTCCCTCGCACATCGTCCCGGTATTGATAGGAGACGCCGCCCTAGCTAGACTTGCTTCCGACACACTCCTATCCAAGTATAACGTCTACGTCCAGGCCATTAACTATCCGACCGTCGCGCGCGGAGAGGAACGTCTGCGATTCACCGTCACACCCGGACACACTGTCGACCAAATTGCTCGCCTGGCTCACGCCGTGGATCAGACTTTCACCGAGCTCGGAATCAAGCGTACATCGATGTGGAAAGTCGAAGGTGGACGCGCTGGTGTAGGCATGCCTAACGCTGAACCGGTGCAGCCTATCTGGTCGGACGAACATCTCGGTTTACTCGATGACAGCGCTCCCGATGTCTTGCGCGATGGTCAAGAACGTGTTGTGGATGCTCGTGCAGTCAACATTACTCGCGGGAAGTTCAGCGATCTGTTGGGACCTGTGGAGCCGACCATAAGGGTGATGCAAATGACTACTGCCCCTAATTTGACTTCCATCCCCACTGAGGCTCTGCAGACACCTACTCGGATGACGGTAACTGCGTAGGAGTCAGATTGCTTTTAGTATTTTGTTGATGGGCGTACACCAGAATAACTTTCGTAGCATGCTGTAGTGCAGATGAGAAATTCGCATTACGTATCATAATCTTGTTCATTCGATGAGTGAATACTAAGTCTGACCTCAAGCATAGATGTTTGCTTCGATAAACAGTCTGCCCACTAAGGCCCGTTTGTATCAGCCAGCACGACGAGTAACAATGTAGCTCGCTGTCGCTTTACATCATTGCTGCTCAGCTGGGATGACTCAGTAGCTAGAGGTGATGTGGTAGTAGAGTCTGATTTGTCATTGCCCAATGTTGTCTTGTCTGGTATTAGACTGCTGACCGCATCCTTGCAAACCTTGACCAGAGACTGTTGAAATAGTCAGAGACCCTCTCCTTGAGACATTTCACACTTACATCTCGTGCTCCGCCCTGCATATTTGCTATATATTTCGCCACCAGTGAGAAATGAATCTCAGGAATCTATGAGAATGGTTACTAGATGTCCGATATAGAAGTTGGTACACACTTACCGCCTGCACGGACCATAGATTGCGAACGATCCAATTCTGGCGCGCCTTGTTGAATTTCCAGCCTGTTGGATCCTCAAACTGGGTATATGCATAGCCAAGTGCTGTACCGCATTGCGACGATCAGTCAACACACTGTGTCTGTGCGGGCAGTATATGCAAAAACATACCTTTGCGAGCTTGCTCGCTGAGGGACTCGTCCTCGTTTGGGTCATGAGTATTTGGCTTCCGCCGCTTTGATTTCTTCTTTTCCGGCTCCTTTGCAGCGTCTCCCATCTGAGTATTGGAGTCGTCGAGGACCCGCTTCCGCCTCTTACGCTTTTCTTGCTTGGTTTGCTCCCCCTGCGTCTGACCTTGTTCCTGTACTCCAGAAAGCCCACCCTCCTTATGTACTCGTTTCTTCTTATGCGTTTTGTTGTCTCCGTTAGGATTCTCGGGGGAAGCTTCATTGCCATGGTCTTCTGGAGTCACCCCTTCCCCTGCTACCTCAATTTCATCCTGCGCTTCTGCTTCGCGCTTCTTCTGCTTTTTTTTCTTCCGCTTCTCGCCTTGCGCACCCTCTGTCATCGGGGCTGGTTCTAGCTCGACCGTCCTCTCATCGCCACCGTTCTCCTGCCTCTGAGACTTTTTCTTCTTCTCCGTTACGGCATGGAACGAAGAATTTATTGGCTCAGCTGAAACGGGAGAACCCTCAACAGTGTCATTTTCGAGGGGTGGTTGAACCTTCGCCTTTCTTTTTCTCTTCTCTTTCTCCGTGTTCGTAGACTCAGCGATCGTGTCGACACCGTCCATATTTGTGTGCGCTTTTCCTTGGGATTTTTTCACTTTCTTCTCAGACTTTGGCTGAGCGGCGACATGCTCGGCAGCCATTGAGATGATGAGGAAACGACAATGAACATACAGTATAAGGACGCGCGAACCGAGACAACTGTAGTACGGTGGCTATAGTAAGAGCGAATTTTGGCGCCGTATATGCGTGTGTAAGCAGCGAAAGTCACTCCGGGATCGCTGGGGGAGAGCTGTAACTCATCATCGCGCGTCTCCATCTCCGTCTCTCGGTTTCTAGCCACGTCCGCATGGGTCTCTCAATATCCTCGCTGTTCTCCTCGCTCGCATCTCTGGTGTCCTGGAGTAAAGACCAGGATGTCCGAATACTGATGCTCGGTCTGGATTCCGCCGGCAAGGTATGTGTCCCTCGGACCTGTGCGCTCGTAGCGCGTGTCTAATGGAATTGAACTCGAAAGACCACCATTTTGTACCGGTTGCAAGTACGTACTTGTATGTTGCCGCACGTTTCTCTGTGACTTATTGTACGGGGAGATTGGTGAAGTTGTCTCTACTATACCAAGTACGTCTAGTGCCTGGGAGCTGTGCACGCAGAAACTCACGAGACGTCCTTCGCAGCCATTGGATTCAATGTGGAGACTGTCCAGGTGCGCATTTTTCACGAAGCATCCATGTGAACTCACATCGACTCAGATCCTAGTACAAAAATATTAAATTCCAAGTATGGGATCTAGGGGGACAGTCGAGTATCCGGTGAGTGGACTGGTGGAGATCTCCAGAGCGCTTCCTTAGCTTTTCATCTTCCACTAGGCCATACTGGCGTTGTTATTTCCCAAATACTGCAGCGATCATCTATGTGATTGACTCTTCCGACGCCGCGCGACTGCCCACCTCGCGGTCGGAACTGCTTACTATGCTATCCGAGGAAGAGCTGACAGGCGTTCCGCTTCTCGTATTTTGCAACAAACAAGACGTGGAAGGTGCGCTCAAGCCGGAAGAGATCAGTGAGCAGCTTGGACTCGCTGGAGGGGAGAAGGAGCGTCAGTGGAGCGTACGAGGCAGCTGTGCGACAAAAGGGGAGGGCCTGGAGGACGGCTTAGACTGGTGCGTCAATATGCCATTTTGCTTGAGTGTGCTGACATGTGTTCCAAATGCAGGCTTGTGAACGCAATCCAGAAGAAGTAGATTGCGCATCATCTGTCACTGCGACCGCCGTCATCGTCCTTTGCTCGTGCATTCTCGGACATTATCTATTGCACATAATACATACATACCCGATTGTAGCACATATTAATATTTCCATCAGGTTTCCTGGACACCTTGCCAGATAGTAAGTGTGTCAACTGATATATACAGGTCAAGTTATCTATATTCTCTCAATGGTGATAGCAACCGAACCAGTCAGTTTGCTATGATCGTGCTGTCTTCATTACTGCTCAGCCCAGCTCCATGTCCATTTCATTTCTTCGCTCCCTTCGACACAAATTCCGGCTCTCTCTATATCGGGCCTCCAGATCCTGACCGTGGTATCATCCGCACATGTGGCTAACGACCCTTCCGCCCAATCCAACGCGCCCACCTCCCCCATCTGGCCACGTAACACCACCGCATCCTCCTGCAGATTATGCCGATCATGTCGTACGTACCCTGCGGATGCAGTGTTACTAACATCAAAGAGGAATGCTCGCCCTCCAGTAGCACTACCGCATGCAAGCCATCGACCGCACGGTGACAATGCGAGGTGGACATAGAAGGAGTTTGTCTGCAGTTCTGGATGTGAAAAGACGAATGGATCATCGGCTAAACTATCTGATCTATAGCCAGAGAGCGGTTCGAGCGATGTGGCGGAATAGGTGTGTATCCGTGCGTCGGTGCCGAGTGCGTATAGTAGTCCGGCTGTGGGCCCACGGCCAGACTCAAGGCTTACAATCCCCCGCGCGCGGCGAACGCCTTGGAAAGTTGTCGGATCGCAGGACGATATGCAAACCGATGAGGTCCGTGTCTTGGCTGGCTTCTTGGATTTTCCAGTGGTCTCGATAGGAAGTCGCAAGTCCCATTTGCGAAGTATACTATTGAGTGGCCATAAATAGAGGCGTCGGGCAAAGAATTTGAACTTACCCGTCAGTAGAACCACTGCTGATGATACAGGTAGGGTTGGCTTCGTCGTAGAGCAAGTTGGTGATGCTATGAAGAGTAGATGACGGTGTAATTTTGCCTTTCCTCCCTCTAGGTTTCAATTGCCTCCCGCTATCCTCATGTGCACCTGGGACCACGAGCACAGGCGCAAGTATGCCACTTACAGCTGAGCCGGTGTCGAAATCAGATATTACATGACTTCTTCCTTCACCAACGCGTAAATCCCAGACGCAAATACTACCATTCCTTCCGCCTGTACACAGAATATCGTCTCTTGAAGGGTCCCACGCGACACATCTGACGGTGCTCTCTTGCCCGCGGAGCACACATAAAACCTTATCTTCAGACGAGACGGAGGATGCTAGGGACGAAATACGTGTGGTTTGATCACCCGACGCTGTGGCCAGTAACGTGTCGGATGGTGACCACTGGATATCGAACAGACCGTTATTGTGCGGCGACCATACTACGCGCTGTGGTTCTTTATCATTATGCAGATAAGGTGTCGTAAGCTCATAAAGAGGGAACGACATACCACAGTCCCATTCGTCCCGCTTGGTAGCGTTGAGAACATGCACTGCCCCAGACTCTGTGGCAATGGCCAGTAGGTGTGTCCCTCCTCGCTTGGCATCTGATCCAGTCAGCTCATAAACTGATTCAAGTTGCAAAGTCTGGACTAACCGTGCGAGTATCCACATGCGTATGGATTGCTCATATGTTGTCCCTCCGTAGCATAGCATCGGAACACATCGGTTTTATTGGAGGAGACAAAAGATCGAAGAATTGGACGTGTAGATACTACATGGGCAATTTAATGAACAATTGTCAATCATAGTTGAGACCTTACGTGCAGGATATCGTCGCAGCGTAGACAAAGGCGCCATCATCAGTGAACTCCTTGTAGTGAGAATGGCATGCTTGGGGGGTTCGATTCTTGTCAACGCATTTCCGATTTCAGTCCGTTTAGATTGTGTTTCTTCGGGCGTATCTTCATAACTGAGCTTGACGCGTTTGGCGTCGCGTCCTGCGTCGGAAGTCGAGGGTGACCGTTTACGCTCTGCTGATGAGTTATCCGAGCCATCTGGAGCATATACATTGGTGGTGTTCAGGAAGGCAATGCGCGAGCAGGGTGGGGATTGCGACATGGCCGGCTCAGAAATGATGTTATACTCTACGCGACATGAATCAAAGTCTCACTGTTAACTTACGTGCTGGCGAAGGACACGTGATCGCGACTCTTGTTTTCGGCTTCGGTGGGACTCGCGACCGTGGTCCACCAAATTTCATCTTGACTGTGCTCGACGCGCTGGACATTCTATCTTGTTGTCTTAATGTCATTACGGGTGCCAATTCGAGCTCTCACTACTGCCGCACGCAGCTCCCTCAAGATCGGGCTCATCCCAGCAGACGGTATTGGCAAAGAGGTCATTCCAGCAGCTCGAGCAGCTATCGAGGCTCTGGGGTCTGACATCCCGAAACCCGAATTTTACAATCTGGATGCTGGATTTGAGTGTTTTGCATCTACAGGGACTGCTTTACCAGAAGAGACTGTAGAGTGCGTTCGACCTTTCATTCTATATCGCCAAGCCGCTCAAATATGCCCAGAGCACTGCAGGACTCTCACTGTGCTTTGTTTGGTGCTGTCAGGTTAGAATTTCCTCCACAGTTACATTCTATCGTGGATCTCGACTCACTGTGTGCAGCTCACCTATCACGAAGGTCACAGGATATTCGTCTCCGATCGTCGCTCTGCGCAAAAAGCTGGATCTTTATGCTAATGTCAGACCGGTCGTTTCGGTATGTGTGGCATGTCACTGTGTCTCTCACTTTACAAATCACTCATACAACATAGGTTGCTGAAAACGCTCAAGAAAAACCCCGCGTAGACTTAGTTGTAGTGCGGGAGAATACAGAATGTCTGGTAGGTACGGTCAACAGTATGAATAGCACATCACTCAACTTCCCGTATTTCACAGTATGTAAAGCAAGAAACAATCACCTCCACAGAATCTGGAAAAGAAGCTCGGGCTACGCGGCTAATCACTGAACGTGCTTCCCGGCGGATAGGCAGGCTCGCTTTTGAATTAGCCCTGGGGAGACCACGGCAGGTAGATATCTTGCACATGTGCCCGGAGAATCCCTTGTTGACAAGCAACCCATACTATCAGCTAGTGACAATCATTCATAAGTCAAATGTGCTGTCCGTCACGGATGGTCTATTCAGAGAAACCATCCGTGCAGTCCCCCGGTTTGCCGAGAACGGGAGGTATGACAATATACAAATTGAGGAGCAAATAGTGGATAGTGCTGTGTATCGGTACGAAAATTTGAACCTGCCTGTTGCGGATCAGAGGAGCTAAATACATACTACCGTCACCTATTACGGCGATAGGCTGTTCCGGGAGCCTCAGTGAGTCATTCCTCTGCTATTAGCTCCGCTTGGTCACTAAAATCACCGGTAGAATATACGACGTAATGGTGGCTCCCAACTTATATGGTGATATCATATCGTACGTGACTATTCATTCAATCGGTGCGTATTGTTGATTCTGGTCCGATAGAGATGCAGCTGCCGCTCTTGTGGGCTCTCTGGGCCTGGTGCCATCAATAAACGCTGGGGACAACTTTGTGATGGGTGAACCGTGAGTTAGAGGAGCACTGGAAATTCCTTTCTCCTTCTAAGGTCTTGCTTTTTAGCGTCCATGGGTCGGCCCCCGATATTGCAGGGCGGGGGATCGCCAATCCCTTGGCATCTATTCGTTCCGCTGCTCTAATGCTTCGACATCTTGGCTATCTCAATGGTGCTGATAGATTAGATAAGGCCGTAGATGGTGTGATCAGGGAAGGTCAGGTCTTGACTCCCGATCTCGGCGGAAGCAGTAAAACCCAGGAAGTGTTGGATGCAGTCTTGAAGAAGATCTAAGGCATTGCCTATAGCATACTTACGATAACTCATCCACAGCAAACACCACTAGACCTGTTACGTATGCTTTTACATGGCGATGATCCACTGCTTACTGATAGCACGAAGTGAAGCAAATTTTTTACAGCGCGTCATCTTAGGTGAGAATCAGTCCATACAGCAGGTCGCCAGATCAACGCCACTACCATGGACTCTTCGATCTAATTTTCAGCCGAAGCAAGCCGCACAAATTATTAGTGATCCTGTTCTGTTTTGATTCTTTTGGTGTCTCCTGACAAGAAATTGTCTTCCTGCTTAATCCGCTTGAAAGACATCCCTAGAACAAGCATGTGAAAACGACGAAGCCTTCTTCATGATTCATTACTAACCTCGCAGCCGTGGACCAGCGGACCGCGAATTCTCGGAATCTGTGTGTAAGGAGTGTTTGTCTTGTGTGTTGATGGGTTTGATCACACTCTTCATATTTCTCACTACGTGCAAACCCACTCGTGAGCCCAATGTGCCGAAAATCAACATAAAAGAACTCACCAGGCGTTGTCACGCTCGTCAAAGAGATTTCCACTGGTTCTGGCTTGACTAGGGCTGGGTGTTCTCGAGCTGCAGTGGTGTCGGTCGTAATTCATCCCCAGAAGTTTCGACGTCTACTTACAAGGGCTGGAAGAAGATCCTAGGGTATACGGCGATACACCGGTCGATAAGTGCAGACTATGACGAATCCGAGGGTCGTGTGACACGGCTGAGTCCGATGTTACTGCAGGAGGGATCATTGCTTCTTGAGGCTCTGGTTTCACTCGCTCATCTGTTTGTCAAGAGACGTGAATGGATATTTAGAGATTAGAAGGGTGGCGCTTTACATCTGGGTATGGGAGGCGGAGCTGTCAATTCGTATACAATCAGGTTGAGATTATGCCATTTGCACTTAGTTTACCTGCATCAGGTGTCGATAAGACACTGTCTAATCGTGCTAAACCCAAGTCAGCCAAGTCAGCATAAATGATAAATATTGGGCTTTAATCACCTTGAGGACTACCTTGGGAGTGACGCATACTTTGTAATCTTGCGATTGCTTCCTGCAAGGCGAGAGATGGTTCATTACCTGTCGATGATCAATTCATCCGCACCACTAGCTTAACGAAAAAAAAACAAACTTAATGTCGGGCACTCCTTCACTGAGATATCAGATGGCTCGGGTTTGATTTTAACATCAGAAACTTCCTCCTTGACAGAATGAAATATGGTGTGATCAGTAGGCTCTTCCTTCACGAGTCGAAGAGCAGCATCCTCTGTACGTATGGAATCAGTGTCTCCGATCAGTGTGAAATTCATATTGATACTCACCTTCCTCGTACGGATCATATTTATCAACGAACAGACGAGCTGAGCTCATACAATAAGCGAGCCTGGAATTATTGCTGAGGTGTAGCACAGACCTTGGGCTAACGCTGCGGGTTCTGTTTTCACACCATGGTTCTCAATCACCTCGGCGCTGCAGGGTACTTCGGGAGTCGGCTCTTCTTCAAGCAGGTTGGTATAATGCTCGTGTGGTTGGTAAGGTACAAACAAGCTCTGCAAGAAAAGGGCATAAGGGACATGAGAACAGTAGAAAATAACGAATCTCACCGGCTCCGGGGGCGGTGGAGTCGGAGTTCGTTGACGAGTCTGCGGCAATTTCAACGCAAGGTCTCTGCAGCTTAACTCCACTGGCATTGCCCAGTGACTCTTAGGGTACGGATATTTGACATGGAAGGGTATGCTGGGCGGCGGTTCTTTCTGAATCGGATTCGGAAAATGCTCAAACCAATTATCTGGAAATACATGATCTCAACTCCCCTCCAAGCTGGTTCACCAAAGGATACGACATACGATTACTAGGCTCGCCGTTGCTTCGGTAATTATACTGGAACACGTACGAGACACGCCTCGTAGCTGCATTCAGAGTTAGGAATTCTGACCAAAGATGCGCACCAAGGATTGGAGTGACTACCGCCTCTTTCGGTAGAGCCACGATGACATCCGTACGCTAAGAGCGTAGTCCGAAATGAAGCACATTCTGCATATTCACGAACCGAACGACGTACTGTATGCACGGAGAATATGACTTCTGGCCAGCCTGAGTCTGATTTTCCGAGCATGAACCATACCCAAGCAGCAATGAACTTGTAGTACAGTTCACTGCGATCCTTTCCGCTCTTGTCGCCCGGCCAAGGATCACAGATAACAATATAGGTGTAGTCGGGCTCCTCCACATACGGAGGCCCTTTTTTCTTCCCTTTAGCGTTCACCATCTCAGGCGAATTTAATCCAACTTATATCGAATGGTTCAAATCTCCAAACTTCTTGAAGTCAACTACGGTGAGGTTGGCGAGAGGACTTGGAGCTTTTGACGGCTGGAGGAAACAACTGTTGCAGGTGCTGGGTGAGAGTGATTGTCACGACGGTGTCTTTTGGGATGGAACTCCCCACGATGCGTAGCAGAGAACGCGAGGCCTCTGAACTGTGACGGCACGCAGCATGCATGACCACCGCTTGGAGGCGTCCGCGGGGTCAACTGCCTTTTACGGGCGTTTTGATCAGATGCTCCTCTACCGAAGACTTCAGACGCAAAATATTATTGAATGCTACACAGTAATGTTCGAATGCATGCGGATAAAGAGTGCGCTCGTTCTAAATCTACCGTTAGATGTCCCCAATACAACGAAAATGCGTGCCACCTCCTCGACTCTACATTCTCTCTTGTTGGCGGTCTAGTTCCTTGATAAGCAAATCGTTGACAGCCTTGGGATTGTCCAGATACACTGTAGATTCAGTGTCCAATATTCAGAATTGACAAACTACATAAAACATGCACAACGCACCATGATGACCAGCATGAGGAATCATATACATCTTGCCGTTGCCATTACCAGCCTTGCGTAGATTCTCGACAGATTGAGCACCGCCGTCAGGATCCATCCAATCATGTTCACCATCTGGTAAAATAAATGAGTATTAACAAATCCCAATCATTGATCGCGATGTACTCACATATAAAAGTGATAGGTACTTTCAGGGCTGCAATGCGATCTACGAGAGGCCGCCGAGCATGAGCTCCTGGTGCAAGCAGATGCGCTGAACCGGAGTTTAATTTGCTGCCAACATACCATAAGGAGGCTAACTTACAGACGCAATACTCCCCCGAACCTTTGGCCAGGACAAGGTTCACGATATAAGCATGCATTGCCCTCGTGTCCTCTTCGCTCAGACCAATGAAACGTCGACTTGAATACTTGCCGACCAACATGGGACCCCAGAACAGCGACGATCTAACCACCTGGAACGGACTCCATCCTTCCTCCCAGAGGTATGTAAGCAATCTGCGGGAGCGACTCTCCTTATTTCGTGCCTCCTTCTGGTCGGACTTCATGCTTTCAATGCGTGCCTTTGTAGCGTTCTCGGCATGATCGGAATTTGACACATCTGTCTCTTGAGCTTCAGTCACCTCGCGCGAATACACTGTGCTATCTGGGTCCCGAGGTACGCCTGCAGGCGAGAGCAATATGATTTTGCTCACACGTGTAGGGAACTTCAGTGCATACGCGACACTCAAATAGCCACCTAGTGAGTGACCGATAAGCGTCATGCGCTCCAGCCCCATCCGTTGTCTCCACTGCTCGAGCGAGTCGATGAAGAACCCCTCGGCCTCTTGGACTCGCCCATCGATATCATCGCGCTTAGCTTTCACAGTGAAGGGAACGCGAGCTGAGCGACCCATTCCCAGCCAATCGAGCGCATAGATGGGGGACCCACGACGACCGACCCATTGTCCCAGAGCGAGGAAGTTCTGGAAAAAGAAGCCTAATCCAGCACCGTATCCATGTAGTAGTACTGTTGGTGGGCGAGAGGGCGACGCCGAGGATGTGGTGGGTGTGATGGCTAGCGTATTGATGTAATGCTTGGGGTTATCTAGCTCAACGCGCATACTCTGAGCCACGGAAGCAAAGCCATTGTCTGGGGAAGAAGGCGGTGACCCTGCGGGTCGAAAGAATGGTAGTTTTCTGTGAACGAGCGTGAGCGCGCCACACCGATTTCTCGGAAGTGATTGAGCCCGACCTGAGTAGGCGCTCCTCCGCTGCAGCGCTCTCCTTCTCCCCAGCAGCCCACCTGTGTTTATAATCGGTATCAAAGGAGAAGGACCAATACAGACTACACACCAGCTCTTGAGACTCGAGACGAACGTGGACGGGATCTCTCGGGGGGGAGGGAGTGGCACTCCATCTGGAGTTACAACAGCAGTCATGGCCGAGGGGAAGGCAAGGCGCAGCCTGGCGAGTCTGAGTGCGGAAGTAATGGTGGCAGAAGACAAAGAGAAAGGTGTGGCAGCCCGAAATGAGCGGGGCGGTGGATTATGAGGGCGCGCAGCCGCATGCCGAACGCACTCGTTGACGGGAGGAAGCTGGAGTCCTGCGCCGATGCATGACATAAGCACTCGCCCCAATCCGGCCAAGCGCAAGCTTACAAGCGACACTGCTTCACGGTTCCTCAATCTCCGGTCGCAATATCACAAAGGCATGCTGCCAGCAACATTCATGCTCAACAGAACTTGATCATAACAGCGCCTGAACATGGGCTTGGGTCGCACCGCCCAGAACTGGCAAACTCAGTTGATCATGGTAGGACAACCGGTGTGCAAAAGGTGTATTACCCGGGTGATTACAAGAAGCCCTACATTTCAAGCATAACAGCAACCGAGACATAGAGCGGATTGGATCCAAAGAGTGCTTCGTGGGGTGCACTTGCTGTGAGGGATCCCGCTATTGGAAAGGTGGGGCTTGCACACCCAGGCGACTGTTATCCGAACCACGCCATAAGCCTCAGCGGGCAAATGTAAATCTAAGCGGGAATGAGTACCCCGCGATACCAATGCAAAGATGCAACCCACCTTGCCATGGTCACCGTCGCTTCATCTTCTGGGCCCTCGTTCCTCCAACCTTGATGGGTGTCTTGTCGATGATATTGACCAGGTACTTCCTGACAGCATTGCCCTCCTCCGCCATCAACGCCTTCTGTACGGCCTCCCGCCCGTGCCCAAAGCCGTTCAGATATAACTGCCACGTCAAGTCTTGCATGTCCACCTCCTGCTGCAGCCGCGCGAATATCTCCACGGCACACTTATATCCCGCCTCGTAACTAGAGCGATTCCCGCCCTTAAACCCAACCTTCCCCCCCGTCAACGTCTTGAGTGGGTTTCCATTCGGGCGCGTAAGGGTGGCTATGGTGTTTGTCCGCGAAGACTTTACATAGATAGAGTACATGGGCTTGTCAGAGCCGTACGACCCAACAGCGCTGACTGGGTTGGTGTTTTGAGGAGGAGGATAGGCTCCCTCCGGCGCGGTAGGAGGACCTGAATCGGTAGGAGCAGAGGACGAAGACAATGGTCCGAGTTGACTGAGCAGCTCGAAGTATTCCGCATTACTCCCTCGAGACGGCCCCGGCTCGGTGGACATGAACGCGGACCGCAGGCATGGCCTAGCCGCACGCAAGTGTGGTATTGAGTGTCTGAGCAGGGACATGGCGTGAACGCCGCGGAAAGACAGCACTATGTAGCAGCTCAGCGCACGAGCAAATGTACCAGATAGGGCGCTTGTTTCTTCAACGCGACCTTCCGCTGACGCCTGCAGCTTGACCTCCATCCGTCACTTACACCGTTCCTTCGTTCTCCCCTCTACTAGCCATGTCTGTGAGTACCATCTCGCCGCTGTTCCCATATGTAGTGTTAACATGGCACTGAATAGCTGGCGAACGCTTTCTATAACACTCTCGTCAAGCGCAACAGTGAGTTGGCATTCCGTTTTCCTCCGTACCACACGTCTCTCCAGCTGTCCGCACCCTGCAGGCGTATATGTGACGTCCATCTTCGCTGGTGCATTTGGGTTTGGTGTCGGCTTCGATGTAGGCATCACCTCGTTCTACGATAGCTGGAATAAGGGGGTGCGTATGCTTACCTCTCCCCGCGCGCTTGGTCGTTCTGACCCCTCCACAGAAACAGTGGAAAGACATCCGGGGAAAGTACCTTGAGGAATCATAGTCTATGAAACATTGTCACTGTTTCACGTGTGGATGAACGCCTAAAGTCTGCCCATTAGAACCTAGCCGTCACATGTGTCATTGCTCTCGAAGTGCTCGTTGATCAAGCCATCTATTTGCACATGAAATAAATCCACCACTATAAACGACATGAAGCACTGTTCGCAACACATTTTGTGAACAAAATTTCGGATCATTGAGAGGGCCTCGAGAATAAGAGACAAGGAATTAAGTTACTTGAATTATGCACTGTACGCTAGCTCATGCAGTATGATACATCGCAAAGAATAGACGTGACTCTAGGTTCGTGCAGAGATGGTTTGAGAGAAGAAATTTGCATCAGAACAACATAAAGAGAAGTGAGAGCAACCAGTGTGAAAGAAGAAAAAAATGTGACCTTAAAAATGCAATATTTAGGATGAAAGCATTCCGAGATCCACAGCACCCTCTGGTGTCTTGAAAATCTCGTCGAAAATTTCCTTCCCATCTGTCGAAAGCGGAGGAAGCTGGTCTGCGACGGCCGACGGATTGTCCCTCGAGGCCTTGATGCGACGAAGACGTTCTCGATTCCAGATTTCCTCCAACGACCCAGCCAAATTCATCAAACCATACAAAAATCCGCGGTCGGGCTGGTCTGGGTAGTGTGGAGGAAACCTGGCGTATATAAGTCCAGTTTCGGGATCGACGTCTGCTTGGTATCCTTTTCCGCTGGTTATTTCCTCCTTCACTTTGGGCTCGTCAGACGGGTACGGTAGCCAGTCCCTGCCGGTCGTAGTGTGGGCAAAGTCGACTAGACGGATCTGCATTTCGCCTCTCTTTCGCCGTCGGCCGCTTCGATCTTCAGCAGGACCAAGCAGGATATCCTCGCTGTGTGTCCGGCGCAAACCAGGACGCTCTTGCTTGTTCTCCGCAGTCCGACTCAGACGGCGCTCGAGCGACTCACCCCGTTTGCTACGGGAAGATGGGTTGTCTAGAACAGAGGCTCTGTATGCTTCTTGCACTTCCTGGTCGCCGTCATAAATCATGAGAAGACTGCAGCCGTAGAACCGGAAGCCTTTCAGACGGTTGACAATTCCTGCGAGCGCATATACTTTCCGCAGAATGACAGGAATTTGATGTACCAACAGCCGCTGGCCATTGTTGAGAAAAGACGCCAAGACGTCCGTAAAGTCCTCTGGGCGGACCTCGCGACCTTGGTATTTGTCTTGGGTCACATATGTTTGAGCGGCGTGGTTCCATACCTTCATATCATCATTGTCAGCTAAGGATCTATCTCGGACCAACAACGGAGAAGTAGTGTACTCCAAGACAGCGGGACCACGTATATGATCGTGGCATTTGCCCGCTCTACACGTTTGAGTACACACGACTATCACTCACCTGCATACCGCAGACACGCACACCTAATGACCTGCTAGTCGTCTTGTCGCACTTCTTCCGCTGACTCTTCTTTTTCGCAGGCGTTGCATCCATGCCATACTGGCGAGTACCCATTTTAAGATCAAGAACACAAGAGCGTTTCAAACGTCCAGTTAGGTCCTCCATGAGAATAAAGTGATTTTGTCGCGTCACGGACGAGTCACGGCCACCAGGCGCTGAGGGGGAACGGTGCGCAGTAGGGGGATGAGGCTCCAACCGGGTCAACGGGTCCGAATACGACAACTGCGGTTTCGGTCGACTTGGACTCCGGCGATGATATCGCGTCGAAAATGAGGACGTCCCCGTGCTTTGTCCAAACGTAGATAGTGCCCCCTCCTCACCACCCCGATCATATTCAAATTCGAACAAATCCTGCGGATTGTCATCTCGAGCCTCCACCTCGGAACATCGGTCGCGACGTATAAGCCGATTCTCGCTCCGCACCCGGCGCAGAGGCTGCGTAGAAATACCCCCTTCTGCCTGACGCAGTCGCTCTACCTGACTCAGCCTCTTCCTCCTGACCTTAGAGATACTGTCGCTCAGGCTTGCGTCTTCAGCTTCACCATCAGCAAGGTCTCCCTCGTCCTCAGCTCGTAAAGAGCACACACTACGCCCGGAACACTGCTTGGAGAATCTCCGCAGAAGCGTACTGAAAACGTGGTCCTTGAATTTGGTATTGACGACAGTGGACCCTGTCCCTCCGAACAAGCCATTCTGGTACGGTGATGGAGAAGTAGAAAGATGGGGCGATCTTTCATGGTCCCTGAAAGCATCCCTCCCTTCAGATATCGACGCGCATATGCGTGGAGAGCTCGTCGGCGTAGCAGATTCGGCCATGGAGAGATTAGATGAGGTTCGTCCTCGGGTCGATGTGTCAGGAGCCGTGTCGGACATGCGATGAGTCCGGGGGGAGATACCTGCAGATGTCGCGAGATCTGGGCTGGAAGCAGTGTATCCGCCAAAATGACGACCCCTGAGGAACCGGTTGATAGGGTGGGGGAACGACGAAGACAATGTGGCCGATTGGGACATAGCTCGGCTTCGCCCACCGCGGAGAAGCCATTGAGGGACAATGTGACGGTTATAATCCAGGGCCACTTCAGGCATTTCTGCCTCCTCCGTATCAGTGTCCCCCTCTTCCTTTTGAGAACCTGTCCTTCCGATCGGGTGAGCAGAAATTCGTGACCTTGGCTCCGAGGCCGCTTTCTGGAGCAAAGGACGAGCCCGGTCATGATGATTGTTTGCATGCTCTCCAGGAGCGCCATTGGATACGCGAGGTACGCGTCGATAGCTAACAAGCATCACACCTAGATAGCGAGGGATAAAGTCCAATAAAGGAGGTGCTTCGCGTTCAACCGCTTCATAAAATAGGTTCTCACGTGAAACTAGGGGCTAAATTCGGCGGAAACAGTGAAGTTGGATATCTCAATCAAAATCGAATAACACACACCTTGCATACTGCGCGCTTGGTAAATTTATAGATAGCGCTATGGCCACCAACCTGATTACGAAATGGCCGTAAGGGAATGTGAGGGAGACCGTCTTGGAACGCGTCGACGTCTAGAGGTATATCCCCATGACTAGAATGTGTCATCACCTGCGGTCCCAACTCTATATCGTCATACTGAGACAAAAGGACCCGCTGGTGATGCTCTTCTTCCTCGTCACTCCCATGTCGAACCAGAGGCTGCGGAAGGGGACTCAACCGTGAAGGTGAAAGGGGAAATGGAGAAGACGCCTCGGTAGTTGACGATGTAGTGATGGAAGCTGTATCCCATGCACTTTCGTCATCGGTCGACCACGGAGAAAATGAAGCAAGATCAGAAACAATTGTCGGTGGGTATGATGCGGTAAAGTCAATGCCAACCAGGGGCGCAGGAGACCGTGATCGACTACTCGAACCAACTCGACCAAGCGGATGTAAAATGTCATGGTCAGCATGCGAGCTAGGCAATGCCGCTGCTCGTTCGCCGGGGGATGGTAAAGGGTGAAGCAAATGGGAGTGACTGATCGAAGAAGAAAGGTCACGATCAACTGAGGAGAGGAAAATGTGGTCATGATAGGTGATATGCTGTAGTGTAAAGTAGTACACACCTGGCGCTCTAATAACCCCAGCTTGCGGAGTATCGTCCTGCCAGACACTCCAATCTCGCGATCGGCCTCGGTCTTCGAGGACCGAGTTTCTCCACTGTACCAAGTCGCTGGATACATTGAAAACGGATTCACGAACGGACGGTCGACGAGGCAGGTTTTCGCGAGCGCTCGTGTTTGAACTCGTGCTGTCTCGTGTCCTCGCTCTCTCCAAACCAGTCATGCTTTTCTCTCGTCGAATGGCAGCTATCTCGCGATCAGGCCAGTCTGAGCGTTTGACAAACTGAAACTCGGCCGCGGCCATTTTATCCATGGCTTGCGAGGGGCCTGGCTTCCGTCTCGAAGCGGACGACATGGCCCTCGGACGCTCGAACACATTGACCTCCTCATCTGAAGGGGAGGCCACAGATTCCTTGAATAAATCCAAGGAAGCAGCAACCTTGCGTCCGATGCCCGTGGTGGAAGAGGAGGTGGGGCGTGCAGCGCCAGGAGAACTAGGTGCTGAGGAAGAGGAAGAAGGGGAGAGAGGCCTCCGAGAAGGCATCCAAGCCGATGAGGGAGCAGGCATATCAAGCAAGGGTTCAGATGACATACGTGAAGGGGGGAGGGTCAAGGCGCGGTCCGATGGACGGCGGATGGGTCGCTTACGGGGTTTATGTTGCGACAATGGATGGCCTTGCTTTGTCTCTGTGCCAGAGCCGCTGGAGTCGGTATGACTATCATCGGGCCATTTGGGGGCAGGATTAGACTTTGAAGTGGTGCGACGGGGACCAGGCGATAGACGAAAGAGACGGTCCTTTGACGGACGGGGGGAGGAAGGAGCGGTGACTGTGGCGGAAGTGGCAGGGGACGAGGGCGGAGAGAGAGGGTCTGAGCGGGAAGTGGGAGAGCGGAGGAGGCTCATATATGCCCTCCGGAGAATGAGGCCGCAGGGGTGGGATCCGCGGAGGTAAGTGGTGGTAGGAAGCAAGAGGCGAGGAGAGGGGGACCTGGGGGGTGAAGAGGGAAAGATGGGAGGACGGCAGATGGCCGCAGAGAGTTACGTAGATCAGGTCTGTAAGGATGATATGGGAGGCGACAGCGAGGAGCGGGCGGTCGTGGAGAAATGAAAGTTGGCTGGTGGGAGTGACGATATTGGACCGGACGACCCAAACACGTGGGTCCCACCCAGGCCAGCCTGCTGACTCAGCACCCGCCCACCAACCAGAGCGAGCGTCGCGCGTCATGAGTCGAAGCACGTTCGAACCCTGGCCAGGGATCCTCGCCTCCCAACCGTCCGCTCACAGGCTCTTCCCCGCAAATGAGAGCAGACACGGGCTCTCTCTCTCCGCTCCCATCGTCCTCTCGCACCAGCAACGTCCCGGTCGGTATCTTCGTCTTTCAACAATGAGTACTTTCACCTTGCGCGCCTCCTCCGTCGATGAATTACGTCACTAGATAAGCTTTATTTTCATCCACACACCAGCTGCGCCCTCACCAGCGCGTTCCAAACCATATCCTACTTACACAACCCGGCCAGACACGGCATGTGATGGCTTTGCTTTCGACCACTGCTGCGGCCAAGCTGCGCTTGTAGACATACACGCTCCGTCGTCGGATTCCACAAACGTGCAGGCCAAAAAGTGTCGCCCGAGCTCGGAATTCACACCATCCGGACATAGCCACCTATTGCCAATGTTGGACAGATTGTCCGTTACCAAGCACTGAGTACTGAGCACGCTCCAACGTACAAACGTTCAATGCGCCATCCTCGAACCCCGGACGATCACCGAGAGCAACGGCGACCGGTGAACGGAAATTTGCAACAGACGCATCGACCGGCCTTCTCTGTTCGGCTGCAGACCTTAGGACCGTCATATAAGATGGCAATGCCCGATGATATAATACGCGATAACAACGATACAGATAATGCAGAATACGCAGACTTTCGTCCATTTTCGACACTAGTATCCCCGGCCCCGACCTCTGTTACACGTAAGTATCTCCCGCGACGAACAAAGAGAGCAACTCACCTGCCCCGCGCCCGATATGGGCTATAGCCGTACGATCCCCCTCCTCTGTACCCCCCACGATAGCCCCCACGATAGCCACCCCGACCCCGGCCCCGGTTGAACCCCGGTATATTAGTACGTTTGGCGGTAACCTGGCCAAAGCGTCAGTTGAGCCTCATGACTTGTCCAAAACGCTCACTTTGATCAGCCGTCCACGGAAAAGGGAGTTGTCCATTGCCAACGCGGCATCAACGTGTTCAGCTTCTCCGAATTCAACGTACGCAAAACTACAGACTATCGTCAGTCGTGCGCCTCTCGAGTGGTCAGGAGGTGTACATACCCTTTTGGATGACCTGTAAATTTGTCACAAAGAATAGTTACTCGATTGATTACACCGCAAGCTTGGAAGTGCATCTGAATCTCCTCCGGTGTAGCAGCATAATCAACCTATATCGACCAATTGGTCGGCGCTCCGTGAAAAGGTACAACATATATGTAGCGACGTACGTTGCCCACAAATATACTCCTACTGTCTGCCGCAGCCTTGTCGTCCTCCGTTTCCATTGGCACGCTGGTGTCACCATCTGTAGCGGATCCATTTTCGGCTTTTTCTGCCTCGGCCTGCATCTCTCGCAGCTTGTTCGCTTCCTTCTCCATCTCTTCCACGCGCTGTTTCATGGCCAGGATTTCCTACATGTCAAAATTGAGCAGCCGCATGTGCATACATTCCCAACGCTCTGGCATGTAAGCACAAGTGACGCACCTTGGTGTCGTCTTCCTCTCCATCGTCAATGGTCGGGTCGGCGGCTGCATTTGAAGGCACTGTTGCTGCAGTTTCGCTCATGGCGAGGTCAATTGGCCACTAGAGGTTGAACGAGGAGCAAGCACTGCGTCAAGGGCGCGAGTGTGACAAGTGCGGGTGTGACCCCCACGTGATCCAAGTCAAATCACCGCCGCAAGTGGCGCGGCGCTTACCGTGGTGGCTAGCCACAGACGCGTCCGCGGCGTCGCAATCGAGGACTCAAGAACTGCCTTATCATCGACGCACTTCACACCTCAGCCTACCTCGAGTCATCTAAGATACATCATATAGGAAAAATGAATAGACTTGTGGGGGGGAGCGGAGAGTTTCATGGGTGTAGGGGGAGGCACAGTTTCTCGAGAGGCCCAACGAAAGTGAGTTAGAGAATTGGACAACTGCAGCGACATCTCTTTCAAGCTGGCGGTGCTCATCTATGAAGCCTCGACAAAGCAGAAGATCTATGCAGAAGAAAGAAGCCAGAGAAAGCGATACCGTTCCTTCTCAAAGCGCTGGAGGATCCAAACAATCTCGATGCCGCTGTGCAAATGGCATTCCTCATGCCCAACCTCGACATGTCTGTCAGCGTGCTCGATGGAGCAGCGCAGCGAGGTAGGAGCATTTGAGGGCTAGTTTAAGCTTTGCTAACATAAAATCAAGGCCGTGAGCACATGGTGCGCATCTTTGGGCCACAAGCATTCGACGATGAGGGTAGCACAGTCGGGCACTTCTGGGGCCTCATCGAGACACGTCCGTATATGCGTGTCCTTCAGGCACTAGTCAGAACCACCTTCGAGAAGAAAGATTACGCGAGATCGGCGTACGTCCCGACCTTATCCTGCCTTCTTCAGCCATCTCACTCAATCACGTCTTTCAACTCAATAGGGACACCATCATAGAGACGCTGCGACTCTGCCCCGGAGACAACATGGGCCAGCGCGAATGGCTCGGTTCCATACTCTTGAAGGCGGGCCGTCCCGCCGACGCGTTGTCCTTCATTCAAGCTTGGCTACAGCCCGATGTTGTACGGACGGGAAATCCCCCTCCTCGCGGCGGCTGCGCTTTCCCGCCTCCGTCACAGAAACCATTCACCCAGCAGCAGGTGGACAATGTGGATTACTGGGAAGGCGCCTTCGCTTACACGGGAGCACTCGCTGTGTTCAAGTTATGGGGTGATTGCGAGCTTGCGAGACAGTTCTTGTTCATAGCAGCCAAAATAAATCCCCATGTGCTGCAGAAGATCCTGGCGAGAATTGACCAGCCGAGTGAGTGTGATGTACCGTTGCTCATCATCGAGACTGATTCCCCCGATTTTTAGGTGGTCTCAATAACCTCCCGCGCAGCATGAATGGCCCAGAATCGGCGCACGACTTCCTGTGGCTCACTCAAGATCTTTGGGCCTGGACGGACAGTTGTCTGGAAGCCAAGCAATATGTCCTGAAGACATGCTCTAGGGGGGGATATGGGCACCGTGAAGAAACTGTTGCTCAATATAAGCGCTGCAGTGGCTGTAAAGAGGGAGTGTATTGCAGCCCAGTATGTCAAAAGGAAGACTGGAAGACGCATAAGCCGAGTGAGTTCACGACCCAAGCTGCTTCTGTCTCCCTGAGTAAACGTTGATTCTTGCCTGACAGAATGTCTTGAGCATCGTCGAACAAAAGAGATGCTCCGAGCTATGACCATGGGCACAAAACCGCGCCCAGTAGTTTGAGCCCACAACAACTACGGACCTTGCCGAAATGGACTAGTGACGCATTACATTCTGGAATACCTTGACCACAGTGTTTCTTGTAGAAGTATATTAACCATTACATACTTTGGTTTATCTGCAGAATTGTACTTGATCGTGTTACCGAGATTACAATGAATGCAATGAAAGGACGTGTACTATGTTACAAGCATGACACAAGTTATAAATATACAGGCTAAAGCGATGACAAGGGCGCGAAGAGACACCAGAACAAAGCAAGACAAGGATATATTCCCAGAATACTGATGCAAAGACTGTGACAGATGGATAATTTAGCTAGCAAGATGAGACGGTGCGGGTATGCATGACAACGTTCAACAGAAACATTTTGGGAGCGACGGGAATGCAGGCATATGCAGATAGGAAGACGATACTGTGGAACAAGTACGGACGAAGAAAAACAACCACCAAAACAATAACTAGAAGAGCAAACCTCGATCAAGTGACATTTAATCAATCCAACCAATCATAGAATGCATCGCCCAGACCGAGCTCGGGGCTCTGATTTTCCATGGTAAACTCGTGGCCCTCATTCCCTTCAACGGCCCGAGGTGTGACAGGCGGAGAGATCCATTCTTTCTCTTCTGGTCCTACCCCAAAGCCAGACGGACTGGTGGGTGCTTTTGGACGCGCCTCCCAGTGCATTCCAGACAGCTCGAAAACTGTAAGCGCTGATAAAGACGCTAGGGTAGCTGCGATACGCGTGTATAAAGTCTACGGATAGAGACAACAGCAATCAGCACATGACATACCCCGCCAAGAATAAATTGAAATACACACCATATCCGGGGCGTCCCAGAATGCAGACGTTGTCATTACCCTGAGACAGACAAGCCCTGGGTACGCGAGCGCAAGGGCTTCGAGCAACGGTGCAGGAGTTTCACTGGTGATCGCGCTGAAGACCTGCACTTGCTCTCGCCGTTTTATGCCCCCGTCAGAATCCGAGTTCTTCGGAGCCGGATATGGATAGAGATTCAACTCTATTTCTCGCGCGTTCGGAGCGCCCGAGGGCTGGGGTATGTCTTCGAGCCTGAGATCGCCCGAGAGGTAGATAGTCGAAACTGGACGAGAAGCAAGGAGGGGGAGGAGTGACGCAGGACCCGTGTACGATTCCAATAAAGGAATGTGCGTGTCTGGGAGGTTCTGGCAGCTGGGAAGGGCTGGCTCGGAAATCTGCAGCGAACGCAGAGCTGGGGTGCGACCCAGGAAAGCAGATACATGCATGTCCAGCGGGAATGAGCATGTGAACTGCTCCAGTTGGGATAACTGGAACTGTGCGCTGGGGCTGGATAAGACCCAGCTTGCGTTCGAATCTACGAGAAGCTCTAGCGAGACGAGGTGGGACATATGACCTAATGCCGACCGAAGCAGGACGTAAAATGGCCGGAAGGCAAAGTCTGCGTCATCGAGAGTGAGTGCGAATGAGTGAACAAGGGCTGCGAGGTCCGGTCGGCGAGCAAGGGTCTGCACGATCGGGAGGGTGCGTGCGTAGGCAGATACGGATAAGGTGCGATATAGTTGCCGAGTAGCACATGCATTGAACGTTGTGCATGTGAGCGCAAGGGTCGCGAGGGTGGCTGGGTTGGAAGCGAGAGGCTCGCAGATAGCGTCGAGCAGTTCGATGGGGAGAGATGAGAGAGACATTGCAGGGGGCTCGGGGGTATAGAAGGCGGACGGCTGGTTTATAGTTGACAGAAAAACGCAAGGAGCAAAACAGGAAGGGCGAAGATCATTAAATAGGGTTGGGCTGGTCGATCCTGGGATGAATGGACAAGGGAGACTGGAGGGTGCCGTCCTGCCTGACGGATGTTGCCTGCTGACGGAGGTCCGTCGTTAGAAGAGCCTGAGGGGGGGAGAGGCAGGAGAGTGCGGAATTGCCCACATGTGGTTGGCCGAGACGATGAGAGCGAGCCCTGAGGCAGAGAAGGCGTCTTGAATGCTCTTATAAGGTCGAGCTAAAGAGGCACCTACTGTGAAGACGTCACGTGCGCGCGTCTCTGCGCCTTCTGCTGCTTGCACTCCGCCCCTCATGTCACCGTCCTTCGTCTTCTCCAGACTTGACTCGTTCCCGTTAGCCTCCTCCCCGCATCCTCTCTCGCCATATACATCGCGATCAGTGTCATGTTTCTCTAACGCCTCCGTATGACGTCCCGCCCACACTCCTGCCTTGCGTCTGCCTGTTGGCGGCCCACTCGCGTCCATCGATTTCCATCATATCGTCCTGCTCTCTGATCTGCTACTCATCAGCATGAGACCCTGCACTGCAGCTTTCTTGAAACCCGCACACTCGGTCAAGTCAGTGACAATGCCGTACCTGTCTCGTCTCGCACATGGGAACTCCATTCAGCTACTGCCGGGGCTCACTAGAACGGAACAAACTGACAAGACCGTTTCTCATACGGGGACAGCGCTAGAGGACATCCAACCGCGAGTCGACCCCTGTCCATGTTTGCTGGATAGATGGGTTATCACCGTGCAGGCATCATGAAGCGCTGGTAGACGCGGTCTCGGGTCTATGGCTGTCGTAGTGTATGACCAATGCAGGTACGACGAGGCGGGGTACGAGCACCAGATACTGTTGAATTATGTACTGTGGACCGTGATGGGCCTTGCGGATGTTCGCTACCTCCTCTTCGATCGGTCAGTTGTTTATAACCTCGGAAAGTGTCCGAGTGATACACGCTCATTACTTCTACTGGTAATTCGGACGTTGTAAGAACAAGATTGAGCGTTCACTTCGAAGTCAGATGGTGCTTGCCTCACCTCCATCTCATTTGTCCATTCAGTTCACGCGGCCACTGCGCAAAACAGCGCCAGAGAGCGTAACTCGTAACTCGTCGCGTGATGTGACACGCGTGACATTCAGGCGATTTGTCACTTCGAACCCAAACCTGACACGGTGACACCTACGGTAGCCATTGCCCGTATGCAACGCTCATTCTTTCAGCAATGCGCAAGGGCGCTGTCCACAGCTGCCCAGCCCTACCCATTCTCAACTGCGGCTAAGATTCCCCCACCACCAGCAAATCCACTCCCAGAATCTCTGCGTCAAGGCAAAGGCCTCATGCAATACCTCACACAGACACTACCCAGCCCGGAGAAGCAAAACCTCCTCTCCACTTACTTTTCCAGACGACATCCTCTGCGGGTCCTCCCCGGTTCAGTGCTTACGGTAACGCTAGGACACGCGCCCACAACGTTCTCCGGCGTATTAATGTCTGTGCGCCGGCGCGGGCTGGACACGTCGTTTGTGCTGCGCAACGTGATCAACCGTACGGGGGTGGAGATGCAATTCTTTGTAAGCTCCCCGCATCTGAGGAACATCAAGGTCCTGCAGCGTGCGGGTGGAGGGGGCGGCAAGGCGGGCAGGCGGATGCGCAGGGCCAAGTTATTCTACCTGAGGGATTCTCCGGAGAAGATGACCGCGATTTCAGCCGGCGTCCGCGGGTAGGCGGGAATGGCGGAAAGGTGCGTGTCCAAACGGCTGCAGCACTTTACACGCGTCTCATGAGCCTGTTGTTACAGTGTCAAGCTGGAGCTGCGCGTGAGAGAGGCAGCCATGTCGGGCAAACCGCGGCTCGCCAGAATCACAGGGAGCTGGCAAAGATTTCACGGGGACGGGGTTGAGGCGGGCTCGTCGCATACTGAACCGACGCTATCTTACGATCGTAGCGATGAGCTTCAATGCATGTTCTCAGCCGCATTTTGTGATGCACCCAGCCCACATGTATCGATCTGTCGCTCCAACACGCGCGAAAGCGATATTGCCTTGCTCCATCTGGAAGCTGCCCCAGTTTCAAAGCGACCCTATTCTCACAGTGACACAGAGCTATTCGGGGGTGTAAACAGAGTTGGGAGAAGATGTGCTTCGACGCATTGAGAGTCTTGTATGGGGGAATGGAGTGAGACAAGCGATCCGATTGTCGCTGGGACATTGTCAACTGACAAGAGCTTTCACGTAAGGGATGGTCGCGAGACCAGGCGAGGACGTCCTATGGGCTTCGCATGGTTTGATCGATAAACGAGGAGGTCAATATTGGCCAGTCCGTATGAGGCAAGTAAAGTAGGTTTGATGCTTCGTGCCATTCAGCGGACGCTAGAACGGCAACTTCGGATACACGCCCTGCGGCGTTGCAAGGGGGTGTTACTATTCGTGGCAGACGGCCGCAGCGGCCTACACACGGAGATTGACAATTGTACGTGAGGCTGGCGTCGAGGGCGATAAGTGAATTGAGAAGGCCAGCGTGCCGCCTTCCGATTCATCCGATGAGTTGATAGAGTGTGCAACGAGGCGGTCAACTGGACGCACAACGGGTCCGCTGGTACACCTTCGCAAGCACATCTCCGAGCCCGTAGATTGGCATGGGGAGCCCAAAGTGGCGAGACAGCGCAGGAGTGTGACTCTCGTACCGAGCAGACCGACGGCGACGAGCACGGCGTCCGTGGCCCCGGTGGAGCACCCAAGAGCTGGCTGCAGCGCAAACGCCATCGGGCCATGGCTACTACCGCGCGCAGCGGCAGACGATGACGATGAATAATGGCGGCGAGGACGCAAGCCCGTCGGGCAGCCCAAACAGGCAAGCCCGGCGAAAGAGGCATCGGAGAGCGGTGTGACAATGGGCTGAGTCACGTATGTGACAGGCTGTGTGCGCGTGTGACAGGGGCACGGCTGCGTACGCCGGAGTCCGATCGCTGCACAAGATCTGTTCTTGCCTCTCTCCCTCATACTTAAGTCTCCCGCCCGCCATGTCCGATGGTCCTCCAATCCCCTCCTCAACCGACAATCCACTCATGGTCACTCACACCCATCAGTCCAAGAAGAAGCGCATCGACGACCAGCACATCCCCGTCGACGTCGGCCTTAAGCCCGTGCAGCTGCAGCGAAGGCGTGTCTGGCGAGCATGTGAATCTTGCAGGTCCGTCCCTGGCTCTCTATATCCCCGCGGTTATTCCTGATCACCCCCTCCTCCCCAGACGCAAGAAGATCAAGTGCGACGGCAACGAGCCCACCTGCTCGCAGTGTCTAGCATCAAAGTCCCAGTGTACCTGGCTCCAGACGAAGGACAGAGCGGCCCTGAGCAGACAGTAAGCGCACCACTCCGATCTTAGCTTCTCAGCCTGACCCTCCTCCCTAGCTATGTCCAAGAGCTCGAAGCTCGACTATTGCACATGGAAACTCTCTTCCAGCAAGTCACCCCCATCCTCGAACAGGTAGGGACAGGCGGTCCCGACATGACTAACGCCGCTCTCCCTGCCACAATCTCTGACTCGGGCGCTCATCCTTCCAACCTTCTCCAATCCGTCCTCCCTCAAATCCGAGAGATTTCGCGAGCGAGTAGCGGTGACAGTCTATCTGGGACATCACCTACTACACCTATCAAGGTCGAGGACGACATCTTTGAGTCGTTCGGTCAGCTCGCTCTCGATGAACATGGCCACACGCGTTGGATCGGCGGCTCCTCCACCATGTCCCTCATCCAGTCCTTCCGTGCTATTACATCTTCTCCTCTTCACCGTGTCTCTCCGATGGAGGAAGACCCGTCTGCTCCAGGGCCGAGCGTGAACAAATTGTACTTTCCTGCATCAGTTTTCTTTGGCAAAGTGCGCGTCCTCCCCAGGGCGGAAGAAGTCGAATACCCAGAACGTGATCTCGCTGACAAGTTGGTGAGTGCCAAACGTTGGACATGAATTACATGCGGGCTTACCAGCCTTCTCCAGGTTGAGAGCTACTTTGCCAAGTTCCACTTTTTGTTGCCTGTCATCGACAGGCCGTCCTTCATGCAACAATATACCCATCTCATGGACCATAAAGACGACGTTGCACTAGCAAGGAGGCAGACGGCTTTCATTGCTCTAGTTTGCGCTGTCTTCGCAGTTTCCGCGAGATTCGTCAACGATCCCCGTTTATCAAGAGGGGAGAATCTGGACGATGGCGGGATGGGCATGGTCTATTATGAACGGTGCGCTCCATCAATGTTGCGGGTTCTTGGCTTGTATTGACAGTCGATCCCAGGGCCCTTATTTTGCATTATATTAGTCATGCATCTAGTCAGCTCGAACATGTACAGTGCTTTACGCTATTGTCTTCCTTCCTTTGCTCTGTGAACTGCTTGCCTCAAGCCTGGTTGCTTGTTGGACAGGCTGTGCGGATTGCGCAGGACATAGGTCTTCATGTACGTCAACTGTTGTTTCTCGCGAATTCAGCTTGTCTCATATGTATATAGCGCTCTTGTCGACGACTTCTCATCCCTTCGATCGAGAAAGAGACCCGCAGAAAGGCCTGGTGGGGCGTGTACACATTGGATAGGATGCTGGCGCTTGCACTCGGTCGCCCACTTGCTATCGAGGACGCGGATTGCGATGTCGAACTGCCAATTGAGGTTGACGATGAACAACTTCCCGAATACTTTGCCGGGGCAACGATGTCTCAACAGGCGCCGTCACTCATGAAGGGATTCGTCGAGCTTACGCTGCTATTCCAGTTAGCAGGACAGGTTCTCCGCCAAGTCTACGCTCTCGACAAGTGCCGAGACAATCTCGAGCAAGAGAAGCGCGCCGAGCTGCAACGCGCAGTGGAGTCCTTGGACAATTCCCTCGCAAGGTGGTGTGACGAGTTGCCCGCCGTGTTCAAATCATGTCCTGCGACTGAGAAGCAAGTTTCTATGGGTGCTGTCTTGTGCAGCCACTACTATTCCATTCTCACCACCTTGCATCGTAATTTCCTTCCGGTCAGACACGACCAGCCTGTAGCTCCACAGTCGACAGCGAAAGCTGTTACAACTGCGCGCGCCTGCATCCGATTGGCACCTGCTATCAAGAACGTTGTCCCTCCCAGCCATCATCTTGCGTTCTTCATCCAGAATCTCTTCAGCTCCGCTGTCATCATTCTACTCTGTGCCATGCACGCGCCTGATATATCCGCCTCCCAGGCTGCCATGGACGAAGCGACCAGCTGCTTGTCTATCCTTGAATCGTGGGAAGGACATTGGCCGGGCGCCCGGAAGTGTAAAGAGCTTCTAGAGGACCTCACCGCGACTGCGCGCGAAGCGATGAAGCGCAACGCCAATGGCCAGAACGGCAGTGTTCGATCTTCTATGAGCTCGCATTCAATGTCGCCTGCTGCACTCCCGGAAGGGCGCGTGTCGACGGTGATACCCATGCCTGTTACCGAAAGGCTAATCAAGGCAAGGCCTAGGCGGAATCGATCGAGAGATCCCCGTTTTTCCCCTCATCACTCTGTTTCTGGCTTGCAATTCCGGGCTGATTGTGAGTTGCATTTTATTTTGGCTTTTTTTAATTTTACCTAGCTCACAACATATCCAGCGCAAAGGGCTAGGTCGACATCTCGCAAACGACCTCATGACGACGATCTAGTCCATGACGCCAACCAGGCCGTATACGGTGCACTCTCCACCTCATACCCTGGACGGTCAAACCTCAGTTCGCACAGCTCTCCTGCGTCAGCGAACAGCCACCCGTCGCCACCAGGCCCTCCTTTGGAGTTCTCTAACGAGCCGAGCCCCCGCATGGGACCAGCGCCCTCCTGCGGTCCTCTCAATATACCACAAGCGCCAGCCGTTGCAATACCCCAGTCTCATTTCGACTACGATTTTGGATTGTCCCAGAGCCCATCAGATGGATGGAGCGTGTCAGACGGACAGGCGAATGGGCTGAAGTTCTTCCCTTCCGGGGCGCAGCAATTGCAGAGTCCCTATTCTCCGACATCGTATGTCCCTCAGCAATCGGCGGGGATTGATCCAAATTACTTAGGATATGATGGGAATGCCACCGATCCCGCTATGTTCGGTATGCCTGGATCCTCGCCGCCGTCCGCTGGATTTGGTGCTCCCGGCCTGCCCTTTCGAGGACTCGACTTTATCCGCAACTATAACCCCAGCGGATACTCTGTAGGCCTCGATCAGGAGTGGAACACCTTTGACCCCAGTACGTTTGGATTCGATCCTGAGATTCCGTTCACTCTTGGGGACGCGGTGTTAGACGGACAGCAATGGAAGAACGGACAGTAAGGCTTTTTCACGTATTTCACGACCGTGCTACGTTTATCTACACTACTAATAGTATGACTTTCTTACGTTCTGGAAACATACTAGTCTCTGTATTGACCCTGCTTTCGCTGTGTATTACCATGCTCTCCATACCTTAGTACTTGTCCCTGATACTAGTTTATAGCTGTACTGTATATGCCCTGGTGATGCTGAGCAATCAGTGATATGTAGCTTTGCCGCTGTGAAATCACATTCGACTTGGAATAACCGAATCCAGACGTAAACTCCGGTGCTCATGATTAAGTAGAACGACCGACCTGGCCTCCGGACCAACTTGTATATCAAGGTTCGGACAGTCACTCGCTGCAGGGCACTTTCTCCGCATTCTCTACCGTGATTGAATATGGCGTCTCACCCTGTCGCTCAGTACACTTCGCCGTCAGCATGGGCAATGGTGTGTATTCTGGTCTATCTGTGCTTTCCCAGCTGACAGATGGCCAGGTCGAGGACAAGTTCTCGCCATACGCGAAGGAGACCCTCGCAAAGCTCATCACCTTCGTCCACGTAAGTAACACTCTCCCCTGTTTCTGCCTTGACACTTCACAGTGCGTTCCAATCAGGAGGAGGTTCTGCCGGCCGCGAAGCTTGCGCATGCTCAGCTGCCGCCCGACCCAGAAGCGAGATGGAAGACCGTGATCCCTGTCACAGCAGAACTCAAGGTGAAGGCTCGCAAGTTGGGCCTGTGGAACCTCTTCCTGAGCAAGGCCCACTACCCTGAATATGGAACGCCCCTCACAAATCTCGAGGTACGAACCTGGGCAGAAGTGCAGGAGAGCGGCTGTTCTAACGTCGTGTGTCCAGTATGCCCTGATGGCTGAGATTCTGGGGCGAGGTGGCCAGATGGCATCCGAAGCTGTGAACTGCTCTGCACCAGACACGGGGAATATGGGTGAGTGGACACGTTCCTTGGTGCAGTTTTGGTGCTCCAACTGGTGTGCAGAGGTCCTCGCTAGATATGGGTCCCCAGAACAGCAGAAGAAGTGGCTTGTCCCTCTCTTGAATGGCGAAACTCGCTCGGCCTTCTCCATGACTGAGAGGTTCAGTAGGTTCCAGCTTTAGTTTGTATAAATGATGGTGTTCGACGTGATGTGCGCCAGTTGCTTCCTCAGACGCAACTAACATTCGAACAAGCATACGACAAGAGGGCGACGAAATTGTCATAAACGGACACAAATGGTTTGCGGTCGCCGTTGTCACAAGTCTCATAAGTCATTCTGACACTCATGGCCATTGCAGGTACATCAGCGGCGCAGGTGACCCACGCTGCGCGCTGCATCTCGTTCTAGGAAAGAGCGACCCTGACAATTCCGATCGTTATCGACAACAGAGCATTGTCATCGTGCCTGCAAATGCACCTGGAGTGAAGGTCATCCGGCCAATGCAAGTCTTCGGGTACGATGATGCGCCAGAGGGGCATTGCGAGATCATCTACGAGAATGTGCGCGTTCCCCTGAGCAATCTCGTTCTCGGCTGGGGCAAGGGCTTCGAGGTGCGCGTTATCTGAATGTTTCCATCGCGTGGCTCATTGTTCTCAGATAATCCAAGGTCGCTTGGGGTGTGTGCTAGCCTGATAGCGTATCCAAATTGGATGATTAATGGTCTACACATAGACCCGGACGCATTCACCACTGCATGCGATCCATCGGGGCAGCTCAGTATGCGCTGGACTTGATGATCCAACGTGTGACAGATCCTGCCAAGAAGACATTTGGCAAGTACTTGTACGAACACGGTGAGCTTCCTGTTCCCTTTCTGGTACCGGGCTCATACAGGAATCTAGGAACCGTCGTATCCGAGATTGCCCACTCTCGTGCAGAAATCGAGTCGGCGAGGCTGCTTGTTCTGAGTGCAGCCCTACAGGTACAATGCGAATCTTCATTGCCTTACTTACATCGGTCTCAACATCATCGTAACAGATCGACAAGGCTAAGGCCAAGGGGGCCCTCAAGGAGATCGGTATCGCCAAGGTATTCGACATCTGTCATTCTGCGAAGGACTCTGATAGATGACTCCTCCTAAGTTCGTCGTGCCTTCGATGGCATTGCGAGTCGTAGACCGCGCTATGCAGGCATATGGAGCGGAAGGTCTCAGTCAGGACACGCCGCTCGCAGGAATGTATGCCAACCTGCGAACTCTGCGGATAGCCGATGTAAGTGAGCACCGATCCTCCTCGCTAGTGGTTACTAACACATTCATAGGGACCTGATGCTGTACGTTCCCTTTCATTGATTACTGAGCGTGTCGCGCATATATGGTACTCTACAGGTGCACATCCAGCAGATTGGGCAACGGGAATTGAAGCGTGCGCCCGAGATCTCGAAGAGAAACGCCGACATCAAGAAGAGAGAGAAATTGCTGCTGGAAAAGCACGGCGTGAAAGCCTCGCTTTAGGTTCATGTACATTTCGCGCATTTCTGGATGGACTGTTATGCTTTAGTATACATACATCGACTGCCATACAGACCTCCAAAAACTCTTACTAGGCTGACACCCTTGCTACAATGAGTATATTCTCCTGCTCTATAGCTTGAACTCTATGTGAGATCTGCCTGTGGGACACATTATACAGCCTATTTCTTCTTGACTCAGACTGGGAGATTGAATGCCACCATAGTATGTAGTAGGTACCACCTTCCATTATCGAAAAGGTTCGCCAAAGTATAAGGTCACGTGATCTACGTGATCTGTAGGCCGGAGTGACAACAGGTTGGAAAGTGGAATTGCTGCAGCTATCCTTGCGCCTCACCATGTCTGCCGCGAGTCTACTGCGATGCATTACAAGGCCAGCCGGCTGTTCTCGACATGTCTCACTAGGGTCGCGGTCACTATCTCAGAAGTCTAAGAAAGCCGGGCCTGCCCTCCCGAAAAACAAAATGCGTGCGCTGGTCTCGCTCTACCATGAAGCCGACAGCTTCATTGCCCCCCACCGCCTCCTCTCCGAGATCGACGCCGCATTCTTGCCGTTCGACAGCGTGTACAATGCGCGGACAGAGGAGGAGCCGTACAAGACCATCGAAAGTCAGGCGAGGCAGAGACGGGCGCTCCCCAAGATCGGCCAGTCCACGGTCGTGGCTCCGGTGTCTGAGCAGCAGGGCAGGGACTGGAGCGAGCAGAGGAGCGGGCCGGAGAGGATGATCATTGAGGCGCTGTATGGCGTCGATGGACGGGGGCTTCCGGGGCTCGAAGCACTGGAGGAAGAGCATGAGCGGATACAGGAACACTTGAGAAGAGATCGTACGGCGCAGCAGTGAGTTCTCTGTGTGCACATTGGAAGCAGCTGCCTTATGAAGTTATTTTCACGGGCGTAGATGAGTTGCTTCGCCTAGGCGGATTGCAGCAGGCAGAGAGGCGGAGCAGGTGCTGCCTCTAAAGCGTCTGCTTGACGCTCACCTTGTTCGCCTTGTTGTCTTCGTTGCTCACTCTGGGATGTTGTCGGGCATCACGATCGCTACAGGCTAGACTAATCATAATCATTTGGAGGTCTTACTCTGGCCTATATACGCTTAAAAATGGTCTCCTGAGACAGCTGCTCTCAACGCGAAATTGGGACAATGATAGAAAAATCTAGGCGACAGGCAGAAGCAGATAACAACCTTACGATAAATTCACTGCCCACCAGAATGCTCCAATATTTGATTCAACGTGGTGGCTGCACCATATCGTCTCTGTTCCTTCTGGATCAATAAATGCACACTGGACGGTCAAATGAACAATGTATGTGTACGACTAAATTTGGAGTCAACTAGAGCCTGGCCTTTGCTTCAGCTTCGTCAATGATGACGCTGGAAGGTCGTGTTTCCCTTGCGCATGCCTCCAAAAGATCTCGGTAGAGATCGCGCTGGAAAGTGAGTGTCAGCTCGTGTCGTGTCAAAACAAACAGGGCATATCACCTTGATGGTACCCCACGAGCCCTCTCTGGCCATGCCACTCACGGATTCACCGACTTCTTGCGCTTTGGCAATGACAGCCTCCGTGTCGCCTTTCACTGTGTAGTCGATGATGCCCGCTTCGAGGGCCTCCGATGGGGTGAAGCGATGGCCTTCGAGAGCAATCTTGCGGTGCACACGGGCATCCGTGACCTTGATACGCGTGATTGCGGCGAGCGACAGTGGCCAACCGGAGCCGAAGTGCACCTAAGGGGCATTTAGCCGGGCATGGGCGGCTGACGAGGGAGGAAATACCAACTTCGTTCATACACATCCAGGCGCGGCGGCTACTGCCATCGGTCATAACGCGGTAATCGCAGCAGAGGGCAAGGCACATGGCACCAGCGAAACAATGGCCGTTGATCGCAGCCACAGTGGGGACTAGGTAAATGATACATTAGTGACTCATTGGAAAGATAGACGCGTACTTACTAGGGAAAGCGATGAGTCGGCGATAGCAAGGGTTCATGATAACTTGACATGATTATCAATATGCCAGGAGGTAATGGTGAGAGGGCAGAGACGCACTGGGGAAGAAACTAATCCTGTAAGCTGGATCATTCATGATATTGTCGTAGTCAAGACCTATAGGTTTGTAAGCTGACACGTCCCAGATATGTTTATGAATCCACGCACCATTGCTGAAGAATTTGTCTTGACCTCGTTTGCCTACAATGACGAGGGTGCCCTTGCCGCCTTCCTTGTCCTTATTTGCCTTTGCGATGCGCCAGTCTTGACGCCAATGCCGCTCTACGGCGTCCAAAGCAGGCATGAAAGCATGGTTTATAAAGTGATCAGTGAAACGGCTGTCCTCGCCATTGTGCATCTCCAGCACCCAGGTCGTCGCCGTGGCTGTGGGAAGTAGCAGGACAGGATACAAGGGAGCAGGAGAGGCGCTTACGGTGGGTGACGGTGACGAGGGGATTGTCTGAGGGGAAGCGTTGAGGATAGGACATGTCAGGCCAAGAGAGAGGGGATGGATGATGGCGAAACAAAAGAGAGGGTGAGCATAAAGCAGTTGGGGACCTTGGGCAGCCCAAGGGCACCGAGCCATCACCCGCGCTCGATCGTTCACATGAGTTGCGTCAGCATGTGATTGCAACCCACCGGCCTCTCACTGCCTCTCCATCCCGAGGCGAACCCGACATTGCTCGCAGCGACGACATTGCATGAGGGATTGGGACAAGAGTGACTCTGGACTCTCTACCGTCAATAACGTGTTAGCCGACAACGAAACACGCTCGTCGGTTTCCTTCTCGCCTTTTACGGTTAGCACTCCACCAACACGCCGCGCTCGGTTCGGTGAAACGATGATTGGGTTGATTTGAAGAAAAAGAAGAAAAAAAGGAGTCTACATGGCGTAAACGTATACACTTTCGATGCAGTCACAGTATATAAAATCAAATAATGAGTCATACCCACCCAATGAAGGGCTGCATTTCGCATAGCATTTCAACGTTCACACCACACGAGCTACACTACTGGTACCCAGTCACTGTATATAATAATGGACCTGCAAGCCTGTCACTTGAAGATACAACACGGCTTACACCGATCCCACATTGGATCAACATAGAATGCGTCAGCGCGCCATGACTCTGCAGAAAGCCCTCGTCCTGACCCATTAAATGGCGCTGCACTTTTCGGAAGCACCGATAGACCGATCATACGGTAAATATGCATAACAAGAGGTGTGCCCGGGACCACAGCTCTCAAAGATGTAGCAAGTATTATAGTAAGGGACAGCACTCAGACAAAACGCAGGCGACGAGTTGTGGTAGATCGAGATTCGAGGGCTGTGTGCGCGTGACCTCTGCAAACTTCGATGCCCGCACCAAGCCCGCACGACTCAGAGTTGCTCCCGTGCCTTTTCCATACACACTGCGCATACAAAACCGTCAGACACCCTCGCCTCCAGCCCTCCATCTAGCTGTCCCTTCCATCCTCACATTCCCAAATGGCAAAATCGACTCGATCCAAGGTCAAGCGGCACTTCCGCGCAAAGAAGCGGACAGAGGGTGTCTACGCCGCCGTCGAGGCTGCGCGGCTGAACCGTCTGCACAACAAACTGAAGGTCCTCACGACGCGCGACGGCGAAGAGGACGCCCATTTCCCGGAGGAGGCCGCCGACGAGCAGGGTGCGGAGCAGCTAGGTTGGTCGTGGTTCGCACATTTCGGGCTGTATGACCCGGCGGATGTCACGCCAGAATGCCTGCACGCTCTAGATGCGCTCGTGCACAGGACGGTGCCCGCCGCCTCGAGCGGGAGCAGCGCGCTGAGACGCCGTGCTGGGAGCGACGGGGCGCACGCCTCGCGCGCGGGTGGTAGAGAGTACGCCGATGCGCAGTTCGGTCATCTGTTCCCGAGCCCTCCTCGCCTCGACGTCGGTTCTGGAGCGATGGCTGATCCCTGAATTTCTCTAGTTGGTGCGCATATGGAAGAGGACCCGGCAGACGGGCCAGGTTCGTACCCCACAACGCGTCTGTACCGCATCAGCTCACGCATCTCTTATTCACCCACACCACTATCCATTTGCACCACATAAACCACAAACCGTTTCCACGACGTCCCCCTTTTCTCGATTTTTTTATTATTACAACAGACGCCATGGAACTCGACTCCGGCACGGCAGACTCCTCTACACAATCCTCAAAACGCATATCGACCCACGGTCCGCGCGACTCACGCCGAGAGCAATGGCGGCTGTCTAAAGGCATGACACCGCGGCCTGCCACGAAGGGCATAAATCGGCAGGGAGGCATCGCAGCCAGACGTAAAGCGGGACGGTCGCATCGCAGACGGTGAATGGGGCCTGTGGATGTGTTGTGCGTTGGTTGACTTAGGTCTTGCTTCACTGTATTCTATTGACGTCTGGTATCACTTCGTTAAGATGAATTTTGCATGAGCATATTGTACTATACCCAAAAGGCTACCTGTGCTGTTTTGATGGGTTTGATTTCAGCAATGGTTAGCCATACAAAAGCTCATGCTTAGATCCACACCAGGGAGTTGATGCTCAATGAATACATATAGATCAGTTGGCCCAGCCAACCCTGCTTCTTCAGATACACCGTGAATCAGTACAGGAATAGATCCCAACACCCGATGGATAACCGTCACATTGTAGTCGTTTCGATAACATTTCCGTACCATTATACTAGCGACGGATGCTGGTATATATCGAGCCGGCACCGAGATCAGGCATCTACGCAGGTATTATGAGTGCGGTACGCTACTTATCTACACTATTAGGAGGCATCGATTGTGGCAAACATGGTGTGGTATCATGATCTTCTGCTTGTATGATTAGACTGCGGTGGTGTAACCTTTGATGTCATCGTCACTGTACTTGTCCTCATTGCTATCCGCACGCTGGAGCTGCAGCTTGGTCGCGTCACTATCGGCAGATGGCGGTGATGACCTGCAAACAGAAGCCATGCAGAGCCAGAAGCGCAGTCAACATCAGGTAATGAGCACCCAACTGAGAGGCAACGCACGCAAAATCTTCCATCACAAAGTGGTCCGTCGTGACATGTACCTCTGGGCGTGCAAAGTTCATCGACCGACGTCCTCTACCGCCCCCCATGTTGGGGAAGTGTCGCGGGGTACCACTGACTGGGCTGACGGGGCCGACTTTCGACGAACTGTGTACGTAGACATCCGAGTTCTTGCATTGCTGCAGACGCATGACGGATCGACATGCCGCGATGACTCTGCCAATCAAGCGACTGAGCATCCTGCTGCCCAGAGGAGGTAGAACACATTGATACGCACGAGAAAGTAGCCGCCGGTATCTAGAATAGTACGTGAGAAGATAAACTCATCGAGAGCGCACAGCACTCACAGTTGCAATACTGTCAGACGACCGACGAAAGTCGGGTAAGCATTCTGATATCTCAGGTGTAAACAGCACTCACACATTCATCACAGCTATCGCGAGTTCAACGATGTCAATAAAAAGCACTTCCTCGTACCAGTGCACGCAGACTCACTGTTGAGATTGAGCACGTTCAATATCTGACGACCATGCAGGAGTCAACATCACATGCCGGTTGTCTCATCGATCAGCACGTACCGCGGGTAAGGCATTGAAACAGAACGCGATGATGAAGAACACGAGCCCATCCGTGGAAAGCAGACCCCAAAGGCCCGAGCGATCCCTCTGGGGCAGAAGCGCAACGAGCGTAAAAACAAGGATCACGAGGTCGAATACCATCGCTGTCACGGTACTGCCTCAGCCAGAGTCCCGACAGCGACAAGTGTGAGACGTACTCATAAAGAAGACTATATTGAGCCAAACATGGCTGGTTTTTTCCAAGGAACACGACTTCGTGGCCTCAGAGTACACGGCCGTAAAGGTAAACGCACCGCGCCAGAGCAAGATCCACTGAGCGAGGGACAGAAAACCTAGCGGCACGACAACCTTGAGATTGCGGTTCCAAATGACGATCCTGGTGACACGTGCAAATCAGCATCCGCGCGTTGAGACGAGGAAAACGAGGTGTACGTTCTAAGCATCAAGGACGTCGAAGCGCACATGACTGCCATGTTTCCCGCCCACTGAAATTAGGATGAGCCAAAGACCGAGACGTGTTCGTGAAGAGCGTACCGAACTGAAGGTATATAATGCTTGGCAGTTGATCTGTTTAGACTGTCAACAGAGCTCTCTATCGGGCACCCGCAGGACGTACTGGGCTCTGGACATTCAAAGCAATGATACTGGAGAAGGCTTAGAGAAGTTCATCGGTGACAAGACCGAGTTGGACTCACAGGCCAATCATGGAGCCAAACAGCGAGTATCTGCAAAGAAAGAAAAAAGCTGTTGCCGTAGGTCATCCTGAATGAAAGTCGCGATTTCAGACGGGTGTACTCACACTATAGAGCAAGTTAGTGCACGTGGATATCGATGAATGAGGCTGGATTGAACTCACCAAAGGCCAGGTGAATTTGCGCCTCCGGGTAATAAGGGACCATTCGAAATCGGATGTTTCAAACACCTCCCAGACATAGACACCAAAAAGAGCGAAGACTAGTTTGCTGTACACATCTGCGGATGGGGGTGAAGGTGCGTAGGAGAGAAGAGGGAAGGAGACTGACCGGAATCATGGGCGATCTCCAAGGTCGACTGCCAGTTGACCATCGTGGCCACGGCGGGGCTGGAGACGGAGAGTCAGTCGGGAGGGGGGAGAGGGGGGGAGACTGAGCCCATTGTGGCGAGGGGATATTAAAACGGGCGGCGAATTCAGTGGACTGCACGTGTACGGCGAGAAATCCCTGACGACAGAACCTTATCCTGGTTTACGTTGCAGTCGTTGCAGCCGGGTGGCGCGGTATGTCTCTCGGAAATTACTCCAGCTCGGGTGTTGCTGCCGCGTTTCACTCAAGCAACCGACCGACAGCCTTCCACCCAAAAAACCACTCAGATTCCTCTCAGCAAGGTACATCTCGGTATGAAATATCGCTGCGTATGCTCATAGAAGGCAGAGACGGGCCGAAGAGAAAACAAGGGGGGCAGGCCACAGCGTCAACAGGCCTGGCGCTGCGGTCTCGTTTAAGTTGTAAGAGGAGCTGACCACACCGAATCATCCTCCGAGATCAACGCGCGATTGGGTTGCCGAGGCGTCTCAACTTTACAGTGCAGAGACTTGCGGGACCGACGCCTGACCGATGCCCTCGTCTCGAAGGGCATGAGACTAGAGCGACATCGCCCTGGAGTTGAAGCTGACTCGAAAGCTGCACGAACTTGAACACAGCGGAGGAGGAGGAGGAGGAGGATAGATCAGCGGGAAATAGCCGCCGCCCGCGCCCGTGTCGGATCACTCAAGTCGCACTCGCGGTGGCGCCTGCCGTGACACTCGGCCGAAAAAATCATTTCGCTGCGCTGTCGTTGACCAGCTCCCTGGCAGGTCAGCAGTAGTACTACAAATGCTGAACTGACAGCCAAACTCAAATAAGGACGCGCCAGAAAAGAGAGCGATGGCCGCATGCAGTGCGTGTTGCGTACGAGCGCCTGCGACCCTTGACTAGTACACCGCTGGTCCATGCAATGGAAGCACCCACACGCGGCTCACTCTGATCACACGGAGGCATACACGAGTGGTCTTTCCGTGACGTAGTGTGACCAATCTGTCGCCGACGCTGGGCCACATAACTACCACCAGAATTTCCTCGAATTTAGTGCGGGAGCGACTTGCGCCCCTTCGACGCCCAAAAGTACAGCGCTGGCAGATGACCGTCCACGAGATCGCCACCCACCTGGAGCATTTATTGAATCAAAACGCATCATCCCCACGTTGCCATGGTTTCTCACTGCGCCAGCAGGCTATTCCATCTTTCACGAACCTCAGCGATTTCACAACTGCAGCTAAACAAAACATGGATTCCTACCGATCTAAAACAGTCGCTGTCGCACCCAGGCAGCTACTGCACAATGGTAAGTAAAGCTGATCTGAGCCTCGCAACGCCAAAACATGACAAATGCTGACAACGCAACGAGCCAACTTACGAACAAGGAAACGGAGTCGTCGTTTCCTAAGACGGACGTACGTGGTCGCATTTCCTCCCGAGAAACGCCGTAATTTCACACACAGCCTGGGGCCTTCATGTTAGCCCGTAGACCTTTGTGCGAGGCTACTCCCAAAAGAGATGTCGATTGTTGAGTAGTTCTTGACACCTTGTGGGGATCGCAGCGCACATTGTCAAGTATATCAACTTACCACGATTTGTGCGCAGACGTCAGCACAAAATAGGTTATCCACGCTCGAATGTACCACCTCGAAGGGCGGTCAACTATGCGGTAGGCATGCGAGAACTGACCTTAATGAGAACGCGAAGTCTACATGCACAACGCGCGCTACGGTCTTGAGAACGAAAGAGCACTCACCGATCGAAGGAAGATGTCTGTCAACACACGGCATGCACTCGTAGAGCGAGCGACATTGCACCAATATGGTGGCTGGGTATTATTGATTTTGGGGTAAATTACTTCTATATATCTGGGGCAAGTTCAGTCCTCCCGCCTGCAGTTAGACCACATGTGCAACGTCATAGGCCTTCCGGTCGCCGTTGCCGTACTTGTCCTCTAAGCTGTCCTCACGCTTCAAGTCTACCTTGTTCGCTTTCGTACCATCACCTGCTGCGCTGCAAGGCCCAACGGACCCATTGCGTCAGTTTCGACTCTTAAACTGTAAAACCGAAGCCGACAAGCCCGCACGCACCCAAAGTCCTGCATCACGAACTGATCCGTTGTCACGAGAACCTCTGGACGCGCAAATGCCAGCGATCTCCGCCTCGCTACCGTGGGGCGGCGCGCACCGGGACCGTTAGACGAGCTGCCTTGTCCCATGGCCGAGCTGTCAACATAAACGCCTCCGCTCCTGTACTCGTGCAAGCGGACAACGGCGCGACATGCAGCCATGGCCCTGATCACAAACACCGTCAGCAATCGACCCGAGATAGGCGTAGATGGGCTGCTACTGACGAGATGACGGCAGCAGGAACCTGTAAGCCAGGTACAACGATAAGCTTAACGGCAATCAATCAGGACAGTACGGTAACGCTTACGGCAGCGATGCTGAATGCAGACAGGCGAGAATGTGGTCAGTTTTATAGCGCCAAGCGCATTGGGGCCGCACTCACACGTTCATCATGACTGGGGGAGGAAGGGCGTGAGCGACACGAACAAAAGAAAAGATCATGGAGGTCGGACTCACCATTCAGATTCAGGATGTTCAAAATCTGAAGACAGATCAACACAATCAATATAGAGATTTGCATTCCGATCTCGCAGACATACCGCAGGAAGAGCATTGAAGCAGAATGCGACGATGAAATAGACCAGACCGTCCCTGAACAAGAGCGTCCAAAGATCTGACCGAGACTTTTTGGGGATGAGGGCGACCAATGTGAAAACAAGGGTGACGAAATCGAACGCCATCGCTGCGATAGTCCAATGGTCAGTATATCCGGGCGTCGCGCGGAGAGTACGACGGCATACTGATGAGGAACTCGACGTTCAGATAAACGTGATTGTTCGATGTCAAGACACACGCCTGTTCTTGCGTCGAATACACGGCTGTCAGAGTGAACGCCCCACGCCAGAGTACCACCCAGTGTGCAAGGGAGAAGATGCAGAGGGGAATGACAACTTTGAGCTTCCGCTCCCAAATGGCGATCCTATTTGTATTGATTGTCATTCAATATATCGCAGTTACTCTCGCAGGTAGGACATACGTTCGCAGCATTAGACACGTCGACGCGCACACGATGGCCATGTTACCTGCCCACTAAAGACCGATACAGACCTAGATCAGTATCCAAAAATAACTGTACGCAGAGGCAAGCTTACTGAGTTGAATGTGTATAATGATTGACAGTTGACCTGGAGAAGTGTTAGATGGCGCAATTCAGATGAGCAAAGATGCATACCACCGTGGTAACGGTAAGCGATACAATTCTGCACAAGGACGAGTATGTTCAGCCGCTTCTCTCGGAAGAACAAGTCGAACTCACAGGCCGACCAATGCTCCTAGCAAGCAATATCGACATAGGAAGTAGAAGACTGGTGCAAATAGGTGATCAGCATGCGTAGGCGCGTTCGAGTAAGCAGACGCACTCTGAAGGATGCCCATCAATGCAACGCGCTACGATGATCGAACAACGGAACTCACCAATGGCCATGTAAATCGACGCTTGCCGGTAATAAGTGACCACTCAAACCCGAAGGTGACGACGATCTCCCATATATATACACCAAAAAGAACGAACATGAGTCTAGTGTACACAGCTGCGGACGCATGTCAGAAAACACAGACAAGAGGGGAGAGAGAGAGAAACGCCACCGACTAGAGTCATACGCTATCTCCGCGGGGGACGACCAATCGACCATAGTGACGTCTGAGTTGGGGATAGACAGGACTCAGGACAACGGAGGGCAGGGGAGCGATGTGCCCCGACGGGTCGACGGTCGCATTTAAGTGCGTGCAGGATGACCGACTGCCGGCAGCATGGTAGCGAGGGAGGCCAGCACGTGTGCGCGGTCGAATCTACGGGGATCTTGGGCAAGATTGGCGTTCGCGGCATCTTTGTCTCGAGTGTTTGAGCCGTGTGCGCGGCCCTCGCACCGAGTCTGCTGCTAGCCGGGCTTGGTCCACCCCAGCTGTCCACCGTTGCGCGCGACGGTGACAGACAGCGACGAGCTCGCTCGCGACAACGGATCCTTGCAGGAATGGGCCACGGCGTGTCCGCTGGCTGCGCTGCCCCGCCTCGTATACTTACAAGCCTCAGATCAAGAAAGGGCGGGTTTCAGTTGGGCCCCGAGCCAGAGCAGGCAACCGCGTAACTCCTTCCGTCGACCCCGATTCGCCCGCGTCTGGGCTCACACGACCGCGTCTGTCGCATGCCAGCACAAATGAGACCTCAGACGGACGTCTCTGTGGTCGTGAGCCTCGTCGAGACTGGCTTGAATCGTCGTCCTTTGCATGCAGCTGCCGTTCCAGAGCAGACGAGAGACGAGATTGCGATCAGGGCAAGCTGATGTCCGCCCGCCAAATCCCGGAGACTCAGCCTCGCGCGCGGCACTCCCCGCACTCGAGTCGAGGGGCCACATATCGAGACACTAGCCCAGCCACTAGTAATGGTATTGCTTCCACGTAGCCAACGGATGCCCAGAAACACTCCAAACCCTCAGGGGGATGCGCCAGCAACCCGGGGGCGTGCGCTCTAGACTGGCAAAGCAACGGTCCGGTTGAAGTGCCCATGGCCAGGTTTCACTTTAACATGTAACCTATCAGAAATCCACCATCGCCCGCGATTGATAGTGGTTATACCGTCACGACCAGCTCCCAATCGCTTGCCGCCCAAGGACCCTCGTTCTCAGGCTGCCGCGCCGTGCTCACTATCAGACGAACTTGTTGTTTCCCATCAGAGCAATTCAATATGCTATGCAGTATTCAGCCCATCACCCTGATCCCGTTGCACTGTCACGTACACATTGATACGCTCAATGGCGAAAAGATCTTAGATCCATCCTACCCCAACGTCATCCCCAATCCATATGTGGACGCTCTCCGAGGTTTGCGCACCCGCCCAACCGTCGCTGATGCGTTTGGGGTTGACAGTTTAGCTGACAATCGACCGCATAACGGTACCAGGCACGATAGTATTCAGTACCCAGACGGAAGATCTCTTGCTGGAGGCGAGCACTCCCCGCCATCACGCCCGCACAGAGGCGTCTAATCACATCATGTTCGAGGCCTCCGAGCGCGACGGCAACTCTGTATTTGCGCCTGGATGTAAATTTGCCGTCTCACCAGCACCTACAGAACAGACTAACCTACTAACTACACCATACAGCCACCTCGCCGTCAGCACCCGCACTAATCAGCCATGGCTGGCGCGGGCACCATTTCACTTGCAAGACGCCTAGCCCGTCCTTCACTTGGTGACCGCGCAGGATCTTGAGAGGAACAATCAGTGGGTTCGTCATGAGATCGTTGTACACCCTCGCATGGAAGATCTGGACGGAGCCGTCATCTGAGCATGAAGCAAACAATGGATACGTCGGGTGGAAGTGCAGCGACCGAAGCGCCCGTGTGTGGTACCTAACGACCGAGTCAAATCAGTAAAATTGAGCCGACACAGCGCATGATGTTGTGAGGGGACGAGTGAAACAGGGTGATGCGGCAAATGCGAGGAGTCCCTTGTGGCTTACCGGAGAATTTTGTATGGTTTCTCACTTAGCTCCAGGTCAAACCAGCACAACTTGCGGTCGTATCCACCCACAATGAGGTGGTCGCCCGAAGGATGCACGTCCATCGACGATATCCATCTGATACCTGGTATGAGCGTCTTCAACAGCTTCTGTTCCGCGAGGTTATACAGCCGCACGTAGCGCTGCGTCTATTTTGCGAGATCCAATCAGCTCATCAATGAAGAAGATCAATCATTATGGCAGAGGAAGATACATACCGCCACGAAGAAATGCGGCTTTGTCGGGTGGAATAGGACCAATTGTATGGAGCCTTTCACTTTCCGGAATGGTGCTTGGGAATGTCTACGCGATAGCTGATGGATCCAGACCGCTCCCTGACTCTCGCTACCGGCTAAGGCAGTCGACATTAGTACCATATGTCTCACCACGATCAGGCTCGCGGCGACTTACAAACAGAGGACAGGTAGTCACCCTTTCGATGCCAGGTGATTTGTTTTGTGACGCCTGAGGAAGGCGGAAGATTCAGCGTCAGGATTGGCGAATCAACCGAAGACGCTGCCGCCGTCTGTGAAACCCATTTCACCAGCGATGGTGTCGTGGGTTGAGGGGGGAGGGTGGCTGGTGACAACAAAGCTTGGGTAGCGGCGAGAATAGCGGTAGAAAGATTTGGTGGAATCAGGAAATGCAAGTGTTCCTCGCTGCATATGAGAGCCATCAGGTCAGGTCTCGTTACGGTCACCGGACGGAAGCGAGACCAGTGAAGAGGGGACGTACAGGCCGACAACGAAAAAGCTGACATCAGTGCGTGGACACCATTCAACGGCGCCGATTTTCGTTGGGAACTTCCACCTCTTGACCTCTTTTCCAACCATCACTTCCCATAACCTCACTGCGCCGCTCTCATCTCCTGTGACGACCCATGCACCATCTGGACTGACGCTTGTCGACCTTACCCGGTAACCGTTATGTAGCACTTGGAGTGCTTTATAAATGGGGAATGGCTTGAGACTGCTGGGACTCGGCAGTTTCGGAATAAGGCTGCTGGGATCAATTTGTAGCTTGACTCTCTGCACTCGTGGAGCAAGGTACAAATCAAGCTGCCGGCTGAAGCGCTCCTGTATGAACTGGTCGTATGCTGGGACGAGACGCAGGGCCTTATACTTTTGTGGTAAGAAGTCGCGCTCACGATCCTCCTTGTCGGTCTCTTCCCACTGCTTGCGCTCTTCTTCAGTAGGCAAGTATTCTTCTGGCGGGTTATAAGACTCCGCATTGGTAGGAAGACGAGGCTTGGGCGCGGGAAGGGGCGCAGGATGCGCGGAAGGTTCTTCGTTCCATACAGAGTAAAATTGTAGTTGGGATGCGGTCGTTTTGGGCTTATTGGGTACGATTCGACCTTGACGAATAGCACGAACGATCTTCATGACCTGTCCCACTTGACGTGAGCGCAAGCGGAAAAGAGACTATGATAATTGTCTACTTTTTGTTTCTCCCATTTGCTGGGTACCCATCTCCGCTTGGGTTCTGGAGCGGCAGAAAGAGGCATGACTTCCTCCTTGCCCTTGCCGGTGAACCATTCTATTGTTGGCTCATAGGGATCATAGTCGGCATCCGGAACCTCATTTTCTTGCAACCGCCGAATCAGATCTAGTTCCTCAGCGGTCAGCGGCTTGTTCATTTGCGCCTTTTTGTCAAAAGCGGTTGTCCTAAATACACCATGAGCTATCAGACAGAGGAGAGGTGTAATGATGCGTACCAGGATGTTGGATCCTCAACCGTCTCAAGGAATTTATCTAGCTCGTCACCTCGAGCGGGTCGCAATACCTTCTTGCCATCAATATCGTAGCCTACATGGGGCAGATCGTCGTACCAATGCATCGGTATGTTCCCTACACGGTTGGGTGTCTGCAATGCGGACGGAGACCTAATTCAATGCCAGGACATACAAATCAGACGAATTGAATTCGTACGTCTTCCGTGGAGGAATCCGAGTCGTAGTCTGGTTCAATCTCTGGGTATACACGTTTTGGTTGCCCCGTTATATCTGAGACAATAGTTTTAGGTTTTGGAAAGATGTGTAGCTCGTCGTCGTCTGTGGAGATTTCCGATTCATCCTCTTCGTCTTCGTCGTCGCTCTCCACTTCGTCTTCATCGGTTGCTTCGCTTTCTTCCGCGTTTTCACCCACCTCATCATCTTCCTCACTGTCGCTCCCGGGATCAAGGACAGGAAACTCATCTGTTTGACCGTCGTCGTCGTCATCCGCTTCCTGCTCGTCCGCCTCATCCTCACTCCGCATGTCCAGGCCGACGTCAAGAGGAAAAGCGGAAGGCACCTCAGTTTCCTCCTCTGATATCTTTCGTTTCTGGGCCTTTTTCTTCAGCTCTGTAGCAGCCATTTCGCATAGCAGTCCAGAGAAGTGTGATAAGTTATACCAAGGGGTCCACTTCCTTCAGCTAAAGAATGCTAAAAATCGTAACTTGGTTAACCACGTGGACGTGAACAGATCGAATCGGGCGGCTGCAAGCAGCAAAGCGAACTCGACGCGCTCGGCCTGCCATTCCGACGACCACTTCAACTTATTTCTATTATTTCTGTGCTAAACTATCTAGATGGTCAATTACGGAGGAGGTGAGCGCATGAAATCGCTTTGCGCTGTTTTCCTGACGCGTCGTGCTGCACAGACGAAGTTTCTGCACTCGTGATCGACATCGGGACGTCCTCAATACGCGCGGGGTATGCGGGGGATGATACACCCAAAGCAATAATCCCGACTGCATATGGATACACAGAACTTCCAGATGAAGCGGTGTCCGTTCCTGCGGATGGAGACGTGACTATGAACGAAGAGAGTACCGCTGAAGGCGAAGCTACAAGTATTCCTTCCTCACAGAAGAAAATCAAGCTCTTCCTTGGTCAGAACGGACCTTCTATGTGGCGGGAGGGGATGCAGATCGATAACCCAGTCGAGAATGGCCTGAGTGAGTTTATCATAAGAGTCGCATCTGATTTCGCGAGTATTGACTTAGAACGCTGCCACCAGTACAGGATTTCGATCCGATACATTCATTGCTTACACACGCGTTAGAAGATGTCATGCGATGCAATCCATCCGAGCATCCGATCCTCGTAACCGAGCCCGCGTGGAATACCCCCGCCAATAGAGAACGTATGGCGGAGATTATGTTCGAACAATTCAACGTTCCTGCGTTTTACATATCGAATACAAGCGTCCTCAATGCGTAAGCTGACAATGCTACCGAACTCTGTCGTATGTCTCACAGATCAGATGTCAGCTTCGCCGCGGGCAAGGGCTCTGCGTACGTTGTTGACATCGGGCACTCGACCGCTAGCGTGACCCCCGTCATTGATGGATTTGTGCTGCGGCGAGGTATGAATTACATACTTGGAGCAATTCATGTCATTCAAATTATGTATTATCCACCAGGTCTTGCGCATTCCGCTCTGCCGCAGCTCGTTCACGCGCACGCGCGACATTTATTGACGTCCCCGACTAACAGACGACCGGGAATCCAACTGTTCCCACATCAGCTCATTGCAAACAAACAAGTACGTTGCTGTGTGCATCATTCGTGACATACGACATGACTCCACTCAGCCAGTAGATGCGGCAGTGGCGGCCAAATTTGAATTGCGACAGGACAGGATAGCAGGCACGACAGATAGTTGGAAGGCGTGGTATGAAGCGCGGGAAGTCGATGAGTGGATTCAAAGCGTCGCGGGCGTTTTGGACCAAGGTTGGAATGAGCAGTAAGTCGTTCATCCATCACTCCTTGTTTCCCACCTCATATTGCGTGTGGGTTGTAGAGCCGCAAATCAAAAGGGAGCAAGACATTACGAATTTCCAACTGGATATAACAATTACTTCAGCGCCTCCGAAAGATACTCGGTTGGCGAGTTGTTCTTTACACACTCCCACCAACTAATGGTGAGTGCCATATATAATCACCCATGCGAAAAACTCATCAATATGCGCGACAGGCATCTAATCCCAATCTCCCTAAAAATATCCCTGCCCTGATCACCACCTCTCTTGGTGCTTGCGATCCAGAGATCCGGCAAGTCCTCATGGGTAATGTTGTACTCACAGGGGGAGGAAGCCTCTTCTCAGGCCTTGGCGAACGTCTGCAGAACGAGTTGTCGAGAAATTTCCCTCATGTATGCGCTTTTTCACGTTGTTCAGCCTATGACCTTACTCACCGACCACGCAATCAGGTGAAGATCCATTCGCCAGGAAACCCTACCGAGCGTCGCTATGGTGGATGGCTGGGCGGATCCATACTTGCTAGTCTGGGCACCTTCCACCAGTTGTGGATCAGTAGGGAGGAGTGGCAGGTTGGTGCACATCTTGTCATTGCATTTTTGTCTCGTTTTCGACGAAGTGAACCAATAGGAACATGGAAGACCGATCGTTGGGCAACGATGCAAGTAATACACGTGCATCGTGCCTCAAAAAGATCTGGCTGGCCAGCATAGTAGGTTGAGTGATTGCTACGAACTCCCTTGCAACTGAACGAACATCGTTTGTACAGGTTTTATCAGACCCAGCCAAGAGCATTACAACTTTGGTACATTCACCAGGAAGAGGTAAGAGACGACTGCGTTGTTCAACAGATGTACAGGAGTATGCGCAACGTGAAATTCCCGAGCACGATGTAACTACCTCCATGAATGCGAATGTCCCAGCGATATGGAATTTCTCGACCCGGGGAAGCGCCGCTTCCCTGCGTTGTCCCGATACATCAGCATGCAGTGAGCCATTTCTCGTCCGTATCCACCGCTGTCATGCCCTTAGTTGAGAAGTAAAAGAAGAGAATGTGGCAGAGGTGGGAAGAAATAAGAGAAGGAATCAAATGATGAAGGGAGGGGAGATACGGTGTATCTGCACGAGCACTAAGTGTTCGCTTCAGCAGACGCGTATATAATATGGACTAAGTCAGGGATCGTTTGACCTATCGACAACGATATTGAAAGGAAAGTGGATGATTCGCCAACAATAATATCGTACATTCTCGTCGTTGCGCAAGCAAATAGCGCGTTTCAGAATACCTCGACATCGCGCCTCTCACGAGCGTCCATGAGGGCTTCAAGGGCTCCGATAGCCTTCCTCCTGCTTCGGGTAGCGAAATTCTTTGGAAGCAGTTCATCGTTGTTTGACGGCGGGCCACGGGGCTGACGAGTCGGGTGACTTCTCTGCACGACCACGGGGGCATCCTGCGGCTCAGCAACGGTAATGGTAGGGATGGCACGACCAATCCCAAGCCCCTCATATAGCTTCTTCACTGCTTCTTCACGTGGAGAAAGCCTGGGATCATCACGAGTGGAATCGCTATCGGGGGTGCTGGGGGCCGAATTGGATCTGGATGAAACCGATGAGGAATCATCTACACATGTGCCATCAGAGTCGTCTACAGCAACAGTGGCAGACATGGGTTTGGAAGCTGCCGCGCTCAGCTGGAGGGGAAGAGGCCTGGCCTTGGCAGACCCCGGACCAGAGGTAGGAGAGACTGGTTCGCCCGGTGGCGGCGTTATTCTGACCAAGGGGGAAGATGCTGCACGATTACCGCCTAGAACCGAGTGATTGACTGCACTACGCCTCCAAGACACTGCTGCATCGGATTTGGAAGGTGCAGCACCATTGACGTTATTAGATGAAGGATAGCCTAATGAGGTGCCACCACTAATGACAGTTGTGTGGTTAGGAGTAGATGGAGGCTTTGCACTGGAAGGAGCAAAGTCATCTTCATCTGAGTCATAGCGCGTGGAAACCATGCGACTCCCAAATTTGCCACCAATGGCCGCGGTCATCGGCAGGTGAGCTTGATCGTCGACACCAAGCTTGGCTCGCAGCTGATCGGCCTGGTTGACGCGACGTGTCTGCGCATTCGCAGCGGCGACACGTAGGTCGAACGATGTGTGAGCAGGGCCTGCGGTGGCTGGAGGAACAAACCCAACACTACTGCGCCTCGCGGGCTGTTGTTGTTGTTGCTGCCTTTGGCGCTGAGCCTGAGCAACGAGCTCGGCTTGGTATTGCTGGGCTTGAATGGTCTGTATAGCGTACATATCAGTTACAGAAAAACTCATGAGCGATGAAGAAATACGCGCCTGAAGCCTAGCAATTTCCATCTGCATCATCCGTAGTTGCAGATTTTGAAGTTGACTCTGAGCCTCAGCAGGCGTCATCGGATAGCCCCCACCCACGTTCGTGCCGAATGCTTGTTGCTGGGCAAACCTGTTGGCAGCGCCATCTACAGCAGCGGTCATGGGATGCTGGAGGTGGGTGGTGTTGTTCCTAATGTACAAATTATGTGCCATGCCGGGAAGCTCGTCTGCTTCTTCCTCTTGAATGTAGAGCATCTCATTGTGTGGAGTAGAGACGATGCGTGGGATATTGAATGCGCCTGCAGGTGCAGCAGTGTGAGGCACATTGCCGGTAGGGCCAGAAGCCGAACGAACACCGCCCGTGCGAAGACCAGCAAGGAGGGAAGCGCGGGGGTTGGGGGCAGGTGTAGTAGCCATCGGGAGCAGAGGTATAGTGGTGGTTAAGGCTCGAAAATCACCGGTGTGGCGCAACTGATGGGGAAGGAATGGTGGAAGAATACAGCTACAAGACGGAAAGGTCAGTAGGGAGTGGTGAAACAGGTTGCAATAAACCTAGAAGCACCGAAAGTTAAATTTACCTGATAAGTCAGATTCGAAGTTGACCGACAATCAGGATGCAGAATAGGAAGTCAATATTTCTCTCTCTTGTTGGCAAGGCGTTGTCGGGGCGATGGTAAAGCTTGCAGAGGATATCCGCGAAGTGAAGTGCCGAGTGGGCGATTAGAGAAGCTGACTGGGAAAAGCTGAAATTTTCGCGAGTATAGAAGACGATAGACAGTATATATCCTAAGGTGAAGACAGAGAGAGAGGAAGACCGAGACAGAGGAGAAAAGGGCCACCGAGAGACAAGTAAGAGAGAAAGAGAGGACAAAGATCAAAACACGACCGTTCAGTATAGCCATCGCCTGGCAAGGACCCTAGACACCCCCTCCCGGTCCCCCTCCGGAACGACACAACTACATACACGCAATATCTCTACTATTATTCCAAGTACAGCCTATGTGTAGCTCCAGGCTGTCGGTTTATACTTTTGTACAGCCCCTCGAACAACAGCAAATCATCCTGTATGGTCAATCTTCGCCTTATACGTAGGCAATGCGTAGGACAACGCTTCCGCGGAGCGTCAGCCACTCGGCGGCAAACGCTTGAACACAAGTCTGGCCCAGCTGGCTTAAAGGTACTTTTTTGCACTGGCCCTGACCCTCGAATCAAATACTGGACTTCGGATGGGAGTATGGGCGGTGTGGAACGGGTTGAGCATCGTCTGTCCGTGATGGCGACGGGCGCGCGTGAGTAGCATCGACCTCCGAACACCGCAGGATGAAACGGCAACACTGACCTTGACATATAGCTCCCAGACATCGTTGAAGAAAGCCTTGATCCCATCGTCGTTGCGCGCCTCATGCAGCAACACGAACTTCATATCTGTACGAGTCGCCATAAGTTATCAGCATCATGCAACGGATTGCACCGTACTTCCTGGTGTAACAAACGCAGAAACCGTCCATTCATTGAACTTGTCCACAGACTTCAGATACCTGTTCGTCGTGAATCATCAGTCGGTTGCAGTTTGATGGACACGGCTAGGGTTGATGGTGGATACCAACATTGCATTCTCCTTCCGTACAACCTCCTCAATAACATCCAAACTAGCGTTGGCGATCATTTGTATGACATGCCTGTCCTGCCCCCCTCCGACCCGCACTGTCCCTCCCTGCACATGGTGCGGCTGGGTCGCGCTCGTAGCACCAGATAAGGCAGTCAGAGTTCCGGCAAAGGCGGAAGTCGACCAGCTCGGAAGATTTGATGCCAGAGGCGAAGTCACCGTTGCTTGTGCCGGCTTCGACGAATAATGCGTGAGACTGTACAACGGAGTGTCTGAGGGCGAAAGCAGGTACAGGTGGTGAGACATGGCAAGCAACGATCGTGGGTGAATTCGAGCCCACTGTCCGTCGTGGTCCGATCAGATTTCAGCAGTCTCAGCCACCTCGGCCTGAGGATGTCCTTCACCAGCCCCGTCTTCATCGCTCGGACTGTCGCACAGTGCCTGCGGTCACTACCACAGCGGCCTGCTGCGGGGACCTCTGGCTTCTCGAAGCTCTACCTATCCACCATATTGGTTGCACAACCTACCCAATCACTGCGACTTCCATGCTTTCGGCAAGCGACATCTCTGACGGCGGTGCATCACACGACCTCGCAGTCCCAGACCCGACTGTCCTCTGTTCTCCAAATTGTGTCGAGTAGAGTATGGCAGGCTACCCATCGCTCTTTTAGGCCTTCACAAGTGACTGCTAGCTCCTCGCGCCCCTCGTTAGGCGGTCCACCTCCACCGCGGCGACTGCAATCCTTATGGCAGACCTTCCGTCGAAAGCTGGATTCAACTCCTCCTGAAGCTATTATGTGGGGTGTTTTGGCTCTGAACGGGGTCGTGTTTGTTATGTGGCACTTAGCTTCCATTAAGTATGTGAGTACCGGTAGTGCATTTCACGGTCTGTAAGAACTACTGATCAAAACGGCGAGCAGAGAAGTGCGGGTGATCCAGGCTTCTATAGGTGGATGATTGAGAACTTTACCGTGAGCGCACATAACATAAGTTCAGGGCGGATGTGAGTATCCTGAATTCATTACACGTTCTATTCTCATCTCGCAATAGATGGACGCTCTTGACTAGCTGCATATCACATGAGGATTCCTCTCATTTATTGTTCAACGCACTGACCTACTACTTTATGGCACCAGCCGTTCTACCGATGCTGGGGAATGCGAGCTTCTTGGCTTTGTATCTCAGTGGTGCGTACAGTACGTTATGCAAAGTTATAATTCTTCAATTAAATTTGCCTCCCTCAAGGTGGGCTTTTTGCGAGTGTTGCGAGTGTCTTCTGGCACAAGACTATTAAACATCACAACAACTACAGTTCGTATGGTGCAAGCGGTGCGTTGCCTCCTCAGTTTAGGTGTCGCAGATATTAAGCGTTTTATCCGCAGGCGCACTATTCGCAATAGTGTCGTTCTTCGCATGCGTAGCCCCTCGCGCAAAGTTGTATTTGTTTGCCGTTGTTCCTGTACCGGCATGGGCATTGGTGACAGGCATCATTCTATGGGATGGCTTCAGCGCAGTTACGGATAAAGTTAGTATTTATCTGGTCAGTTCTATCATCTTGACTCATAGTTCGACTACAGCGAACCGGAACAGACACAGCTGGCCATATTGGTGGCATTTGCGCCGGCATAGCATACTTCCTACGGCTTCGCTTCCGTTTCTAACTTAGGGCTGGATCTAATATTCTCGTGGTAGACTTTGCCAACATTCTTTACGCAAAATGCAGTCGTCCAACTTTCCGGCTCGGTTTTGACCCTATACTCATTCAAACTGGGCTTACTCTGATCGCCTGCAGTCGATATGCTATTTCAATCAGTCTCAGCCTAACTGGGAGGAGATGATGATTCAATTCACTGGCTACTGACTTGGAGTTGACGGGCGGTTCAGCCGTTTCATAGTATGAGACAGGTGAAATATAATGTGGTGCGAACATAGATATCCATTATAAAGTAACAGGAGGTGCTGTGATCGGATCAGGCACTCCAATCTCCCTGACCGCATAGTAGCTGAAGAACAGAATCTTGAAGCTGAGCGCAATGCCGGCGTGCAGAAGCACCAGAAGAATGATGATCAACCGAACAGGTTTTGCGTCAGCCTAAAAGGTCGTGAGCTCAAACATCCCAGGAAGAGGCAGTCGCTGGCACGCACCGATGCAAGCACTGGATACACGTTTGCGACAAGGAAATACCCCGAGAGAAGGAACGCAACGCCAACCAGAATCCAACGCGCGAGGGGAATTGGAATGACGCACAAGACCTATTTCGACGAAGCATGAGTCGCTATACACCGCGTCTCATCATTGTACTCACCGAGACCGGAATCCACACAAACTGGCCATATCCCCACAAAGCGACGGCTTCGATCACACTCCACTCGCCTACGCCGAGGTACCTCAGCGCGAACCACAGCAATATCGGCACCGCGAGGCCGTACGAGTACACGAGGCCCACCGCCGTGAATATCAGGCCGAAGTCGTACGCTATGATGGCAGCGGCATCTGGATTCGATAGCCACGACGCTATGGCGGACGCGAGGGACGAGCAGACAAATAGCGAGAATATGAGCGTAGTGAGCGTCCAAAATGGCCCGTAGAGGTCGGCACCGGGCGAGAGGTGTGTGGAGAGGTAAGAGGTGGCGGAGGGCGGGAACATGGTCATATAACAGCGTCGGAAGACCTGATGTGTGCAAGCGAAACAATCAGGCTTTCATTTTAACCTTGTGTGGATGAAATAGTGGAATTGTCCGTACGGTTTTAGTGTCGACGTCGAAGTAGGGCTGGAAATATTCGAATGACCAGAATCCATGGCTTCCTGGGCTGCTTCGGTCTTGGACATATCCTATACATGTATATCATGCGGTAGACTTGAGCATGAGCGTTCAATACCTACCTCGTCCCGCATTGACCCCTGCGTTCCCGCCAGCGTTGGGTGCTCGAGGGTCGGAATCAAGGAAAGCTACGTCCAAAATGTCTCTTGTTCAACACCAAGTGAAACCAAGCAAGTGGTTGTGCGACGCACATTGGAACTGGAGGCCCTCCGGGCCCTCTTCCATTCGCTAGGAGGAAGACTGCCATCAATACCATGAGGCTCCGACAGCGCATGGTGAATGAAAACACTTACGTCGTCGGACTCTATGGATACATACGCCATTGTGCTTTTTCACTTGAAAGAGTTGAGGCGGTGGGTATGGGACTACGTTGCAGGGCTTAGAGTAATGAGGTAGTCGGCGACGGGCAGTGAGCAAGAGCGCGCAGAAGCGCCCGCGAGGCTCGCCCGACGCAGTCACTGTGCATGATCACCATACGCATGCATGTGTGAGTCGAAATCACGGTTTTTATAGAGCTACAACACATTGTATGCTGGTGTCTATCTCATACATGATTGCTTACAAAATGCTCAAGTAATGCTACAATGGTATAGAGAGCAATGTCAGGGCAGGCAACTCGGAAAAGACGAAGCGACACCCAGATGCAAGTCGGGGAAGAATGTTCACTGATCCAACCTGTCCCTTTCTGTCGCATGCGTCGCGATAACGCGATCCATAGCATCCAGCCATGTCTCCACTTGCGTGGCGGCAGTTGTGCCATTGGTCGTCAATCCTTTCTTCTTTGCCTTCGAGATGCCGTTGGCCTGTGGAGATGGTCTCGACTGAGTGAACATCGGAAGCACCCCGATATATCGTGCGTGGGCAAGCACTGGCAAACGTCTAAGCGAACGACCCGACATGCCCTGGATCTAGTTTGCAAGGAACATCCTGGAGTGAGTCTTGGGAGAAAGTACAATCAGTACAATACTTACTCGGCAGTTTTCGGATAGCGCAAGTAATCTCATTGCGACTCTCTTTGAACGTTCTCGTGAATCATCTCCGGCGGCGAGCGAAATAGCTGCTCCGAGGGGTATCTCAGACTGCTGAGAAGTCGGAAGAATGCTGTTTTGGGTACGTGGCCGAGATCCGACCGATGCTACAGGGAGAGCGGCTGCTAGTGAAGCAGTTTGTGGAAAGCCAGATGTTCTTTCATATAACTGAGCTTGTGCCAAGCTTGGCACGTCCTAGATAATAAATACAGAGGATGAGAGGGTGGTCGGTAGAGACGGCATGCAGGAATCACGCACAACGTCAGATACAATTCCTTTCTTGATGAGCTCGGCTAGGCACGTCCGGAGAATCTCATAAACAGCTTCTCGGGGAGGAAGATCGACATATTGCACGATGTCCGCACGGTCCACAAATGCCGAGTCTGTATCATTCTTATTGAGAATTAGCATCAGTCGGTGACGGCGTGCAGCTCACCAATAGCTTTAGCAAGGTTACTTGTGGCCATGACAAGAACGTTCTTTTTATGTTTCAATTTATCTAGCTGTGTGAGTAGCGCATTCACGACCTGGAGAGAAACTGCATTAGTCTTCCTCAACTGGTGTAAACTGAATTCATACACGGAGAGCATCGGAAGGTTCTGTCCCTGCCATAGCTCCTGCTCGAGCCGCAGTCAGAGATTCAACCTCATCTATTGAGGCATGAAACGGCCACGACGTTAAAAATCAGCGAATAGGATGAACGACGTCATGGCTCACCGATGAGCACGACCACGAACGTCTCCTCGTCTTCAGTCATATCCATGACGCTGCTGAATAATCGCTGAACGAGCTTCCCGGACTCTGAGAACCAGCGAGAGAACAACGAATGCGAGTTGATCTCCAGCAAACGCGAATGCGCATATCTGTGGATGAGACATCAAAAATCACCCGTAGTAGGAGTGCGCTAGCACTAGCCTATGAGACAACCTGATGGACAGCTTTTGAGCAAGGGCACGACAAAGTGACGTCTTCCCGGTCCCAGGGGGACCATGCAACAAGACGACGCGATTCCACGAAACGACGTTGACTACTTGTAGTTAGATTCACTAGCGAATGGATGAAGCTCGAAGGCTCACAGTCAACGTCCGCGTCACTGAAGACCACGGTAGCATATATATAGTCGAGCAACTTTGACTTGATATCATCTGAATAGATCAAGCTTTCCCAGAGCCCCTCCCATGCCAGGCTGGGCAGCTCGCACACACTCGCGGCCATGATTTCCTCGCCGTCGCCTCGACCGCCCCCGCTTGCGAGCTCCTCGAACGCATCGGCGTCGGATGGCTGGTACACATGTATTTGGAGTGAGGCTTGTTCTATGGGAATAGAGGGAGAGGGACAGGACGACTCTGAAGCGGAAATGCAGGCGACGGAAGAGGCAAGGAGCGGAGCGTCTTCCCAGCCTTGGATCGTGGATGGCAGGTAGATGTATGATAGAGAGGAGGTAAGGAATGTGTGCACTGCGTTGCGTATGGTATCAAATCGCGAGGTAGCGGTTGGCGACACTCGCACTTCGACTAGCCGTTCAAATAAGATCAGTTAATACGTTACTCGAGAGCAGTGGTGCGAGCATACATACTGTGCACAGGCCACATGACTGGAGCATTCGCGGATGTGGGATCAGAGGACGATGCCATGTTGAAGTCGAGTTCGCCGTTCATGATGTTAGCAAGGTGAAAATGTCAAAAGGTGGACGAGCAGTGGCAAAGTCACTCTCAGGCGGCTGGTGGCCACCGTCAACAACGCGTACACAAACGCGGTAGGCGCGTGTTCCCGCCGGTCCCGTGACGGAGTCGATCGAGCACGATCGTCCGAGTCTAGTACTTACTTAGTACTGCTTCCGCGATGGCCCGGGCGCAAGGTCGAGTGTTGTAAACATTGCGCTCCTTCCATTTCGGACATATCTGCGCAACTTCGCAGTACAGCATGGCAGACCAGGGAACGTGTGTGGAATGTACCACGGACATCCTCGTCGCACAACATCAGGAGCAGCCCGCACAATCGGCGACGAGCCCCTATGATCCCAAGCTAGATCCCTCAACCTTTGTGCCCCCGACGCCCTTACCGTCGCCCAGCATCACCATTGAATTCTGCGACAGGGTACGTCACAGGATCCATTCCCCATGTCTCGCCGTAATGGAAGCTCATCACGATGTCTGTCGCAGTGCCGCTGGTGAGAACATAGCACATACTTGGCCACATCTCCCCGGCGGGGACACCCGCCGCTGACGCTGCGTCACCAGGCTGCATCGCGCAAGCTGGGTCTCAACCGAGCTCTTCCTGACCTTTCCCACCCCGACGCTCAAGGCGATATCCATTCTCCCTCTCAATGCAGAGGAAACGGGAGGCCGATTCCGTGTCTGGCTATTCCTGGACGGCCAACCACCCCTCCTAGTCTGGGACAGGAAAGTGGAGGGCGGCTTTCCAGAGCTCAAAGTGCTGGTGCGCATGACGTCGTGGTCTTCGAGGTCTCTCCAGCATTTTGATTCGGTTCGCGAGCAGAAACAACGCGTCCGCGACCACATCCAGCCGGGCAAATCGCTCGGGCATTCAGACAACAAGTAAGGCCTGTCACTGGCTTGCATGGAGAAGGCATGCCTCTGCGGTGTCTTTATCTCAATTATGCTGTGTAAAGCTTGAGTGGCGTTTCTCGAGGCAGCGCTCGCCAAATTGTCACTCTCGCATTGCAGTTTGCACAATATCCTCCGTCTCAGAAGTCTGCGCAATTTTTCTTACCCTCGACAAGGAGCAGAGCGTCGACGCCACACCTCGACGGGCTGCCATGACAAGGTCGGGCGCGTTATTTAGCCTTCAGGACCTCGCTGGTCGGGCTACGATTGCTGTGGTCTCTGGGAACATTCTGATTTTTTGTCGTCAAATTTTCGTCATCATATGAGCGGGGCGACTCCGCCGGCGGACGCGCCAGCCTTGGTTAGCAAGCCTACTGCTATTGCGACTGCCGGGATTCGTCTTTTGGCGGTATCAAACTGTGGCAGCAACCGAGTAAGATCACGGCGTTATCGCTCTCGTAAGGGTCTCCAAGAACGTACTCCATTCCGAGTCTAGAGGCATGTCTGCTGGTTGCGTGTATCGGGGTCCGTTTCCCCATACTTCTTCACGCACATTCTGATTGTCCTCCCCCGATAGCCGCTGCATCCACGCGTGCGTCTGTGCTGGGCGCAATATGCACGCCTCGGGTAGCATGCATTGCTCGCTGTCAGAGTGCTCGGCTCCTGCAGCGTCTGGGCGAGAGGGCGAGGACCCCGTGTGCAGATGGCCCAAATCGCGTAAGGCCTGTCTGCGCACCGTCGCTGATTATCGTCGACTCATCGCAGGCAAGACCATGCACACATCGTCCCTGTCTGTGAATATTGAATGCGTGAACGTGCGCAACCCGCTGCGTGCGCCCAAGGTCCGAGCATGCTAGCACATTCTGATTGGACTCTTCCGGCATTCTGTTATCGGCATTTCTCGACCATGTCAGGCGCCTTGATCAGTTATGCGAGGAATCGCCATCCGGAGGTTTTTCGCTCGACCCCAGTCATGTCATGCATGCCACTCGAATTGTCTGATAGCACAAACGGCATTCTTGCTCCACACCAAAAGGCGCGATAATGACAGAGTTGATAGGCCACGACCCTAGTATACTACAACAAATGATATCTACACGAAGGGCGAATATACAAGCAAGCGCACGAACGCGTCGGTCAGCAAAAGGTGGCACAAGCTTAAAGGGAGAGAAGGTGCATCACCGCCACAGGCAGGAGGCCCTGGCGACAGCATACACAGGTGAACGACGAAGGAGCTACTTTATACGTACAAAAAAGCGTCTACGTACAGAAAAACGTCCTTATGCGCACGCGCACGCCTACAGGTATTAATGAGTCCGACTCCGCTGCCCGTATAGGAACGAACGGCCCAGTGTAAAATAAGTCTCAACTTCATCAGTCCAAAGAATCAATGTCAACAAGAAACCTATCAGCTCCCTGGCACTGGTCTCACTTCATGCATCTGCGCTTCCAAATCGTCGGAATCACCGGCGAGGAACGCCACCCGCTCTTCGCTACTGCCGTCCTCGTCCATCAGCTCGTCGTTCACTGCTCTGCGCGTGATGTACGAGATATAAACAAAGATGGCCAAGCAGAGCGCAATGCCAATGACGGTCGAGTAGAAGCTCAGCGAATTCTCCTCTGCCGACCCAGACGGTTTCACGTGGTACTCCGCAAATGAGTGGATCGAGCTCCCAATGCTAGTGTGAATGATGAGCTTGAAGAGCGAGAGCGCGGTGCAGAGCGTGTACGTCCGGAAGGTCAGACTCGACGACGCCGCAAGGAGGCAGTTCATAACGTTGTATGGGTAGGGCGCAAGACGGATGAGGAAGAGAAGCTTGGGTCGCTTCTCGATCGCCCTGACCACCCGCTTGATCGTCACGGTACATGCGAGCCAGCGCTGAATCTGGCTGCGGAAGAAGGCCCGAGAGAGTAGGAATACAGTGAGTGCGCCGACCAAAGAAGCCAGGTAGGAAATTATAGCGCCAGTCCAAGCACCAAAGGTGTAGCCAGATAGGATAACGAGTGTGGAATACAGAGGGACTGGGGCTGTGTGACAGGACCATGGATCAAAAAGAGACGCGGGTGGATATATCAGACCAGAACTTACGGAATGTAGTGATGAAGATGAGAATGAATATCACAGCATAGCCAACGTAGGCGTCGGACTGCAGCCAGTGAGACAGTGCATCTAAACCTGCAGAGAGTGAAACAAATCAAAACTCGTGTTGGGGCGTATTATGCGGTCGCGAGCGGCCTACCTCGGAAAACCTCAAGCTTCCAAAAGCTGATGGCAGCGAGGAAGCCGAGGCTTGTGATTGCGTACAAGATGATGGGAATCCAAGGCTTTAGCAGATTAGCTATCCGAAGGCCGCGCGGGCGGGTGTAAGCGGGGGTAGGTGCAGTCCAGCTGGAGATGGCACGCGGTGATGCGGAACCGGCGAAGGAGGGAGATGGTCGCGCCGGAGAGAGAACAGTGGGATGTGAGGAGAGGGAGCAGCGCGATATTGAAGGCGAGGGGAAGTGCGAAAGCGTGCAGGGACATGGAGCAGATGGGTCACGGTGGTGACCGAGTCCGCGACGCGCTGACGCCTCAATCAAGGCCTTCTCGTCGAGTTTCTCGTCCATAGCGGATTGTTGCTGGGATGTGCGCGCGGGGTTGGTCGACGGTTGCTGTCCCGATAAGAGAGCGAGGGCGCGGGGATGTTGTGAGCGGGCTTGATGGGAATGGGGATGGTCCATTGGATACCAGTCCAATTGGAAAGGGCGAACGTCGGGCGAGATGGGTGGAGAAGACCCAAGTCGACGAACGGCGGGTTGAGACGAAAGGCCTGAAGAAAGAGTGTGCGGATCGAAATAAGTTAAAGGATGGTGCGGGCTGGCTGTCTTCCCACGGGGACAGAGTGCCTCTCTGGGCGCCTGGTGGCGTCAAACCGCATCTGCTGCGCCGGCTAAACAAATATCGGTGACTGCAGCCTCAGAGTCCCGCCGACTATCCGCCTCTGCTTTTCTTCCTATCTCTCTAAAGCGAGGCCAAGCCAGGCAGCGAGGCACACACGCTGCAGACGGGCACAGCGACTGTGGCAGCGACGACTCGGTGCGCGCAATGTCCTCGACGGCGACGGGGTCGGTGGCGCCAAGTCAGGGTGGCGACGCCGCGTCACGCTGTCACGCGCCCTGGCTCTAGCCACTCGCGTTCAGGGCCACGGCACACGTGCCTCTGTCTCTAGCGTGATTTTTGCTCGTGACGGTCGCATCCTCTTTCTCCGCACCGCGACGGCGCGATCGCACCGATGGCCACATCTCTCCTCCAACGCCTGCGTCCTGTCCGCCCTCTGCGCACTCTCCACCCTCGTCCCCGTCATAACTCGCACAGCGCTGGCCCTCGCCATGTTCACTTTTACTCCGACCTTGTTCCGGGCATGATTCCAGTCGCCCTCCTGGGCTCAGCTGTTTATCTCGTAAGGCGTCCCGACCTTCCGAAACCAACGTATGCTCACCCCCTTTTACAGGGCCTGCGCCTTGCCCAATCAAGCATGTCTCACGAAAAATATTTGGAAGAGGCCTTGGAGCGCGTCACACAGCTCGAGGCGGAGGTGGACGCTCTCCGCAACGCCCAGGCGGGTCGTGCCCTGATTACATCGCCCTCAAGCGAGGCCAAGTCGCGCTGGCGGCTGTGGTGACATCCTGCACGATCGGTCGGTCAACCCCCCCGCTCCAGCCGTCACTCTGACTGTATCGAGCAAGGTCTCCAACCGCCCTGGATGCGTTGGCAGTGCTCACCATTTTCCGTGCCCAAATCTGTCTGTGACACCGACATGATTCCGATAGCGCCCCGTGTTGTAGCATGCACCCCTGTACAATGTTGACATGCTCAGCCGCATCGAGGTGCCCGATCACTCACTAAAGGCAGCATGCCTCGCACGCCCGCACTCGCGCATCGTCCCCAGCTGATATCCAAGCACATTTCCAAAATTAACCTCTGATATTATTGGTAGTCTCTGATTAATCACTGTCCAAGCATGTGAGATAGCAGCAGCGAAAGTAAGAATAGGGTATAGGCCGTATGGCGCACGGCGCGCGGAAAGGTCATCGGTGCATGCCTTTCACCAATGCTGTCTTGTGACGATCATAGAGCTTCGCAGTGCTGTACCAATCGATTCAGCTATATTGTCGCACACACAATTGTGGAGTGCGAATACGTCACCTGAGAGCTGCTGCTGCCAGGCCGGCGAACGTCTGAATCTGGCTTTTGGCGCGTTTGAGATTGAAGACGTTGTAGGCTGCGCACGTACATCATCTGCACACGTACAAATCTCAGACATTGAGCGCAAGACACTCACAGACGAAGATGAGATCCATCAGTAATTTCAGTCGTGTCACCTGTATCCAGTAATCTTGTCTCTGCAATCTTCCAAGCTCCGTTTCGTCCACCTTCGAAGCCGCTGGGTTTGATTTGGCCGTTGCGCCCCCCATCGACTCCGCGTAGAGCCGTGATTCCACTGTGAGTCCAGCCCATCAGACAAGGAATTCGCATATCAAATCATAATGAGGTTTCTGACCTTCGTGCTGCTGCGTGAGAATCACACTTCTCTCTACAGTGTTTTCCACCAGGTTCACAAGCGTGCCAGCAAACCAACACCAGTCTGCAAACCTCCCAGCGCGTTCTCCCAGCCGCTTGCCGATGAGCCCCAACCTGGCAAACGTATAAACATCGTCCGATAGGCCGTTGACCAATTCGAGCAGCACTGGCGGCGGCGCGTGGAGGAAAGTGTGCAGCAATGGCTTGCCCTTGCGCTTTTCTGCTGGCAGTCTATTCGTAGAGGACGAGTCTGCGGAGAACGGCACGGACGCGTGCTGGTCCAATATCGAGGTCAGAGGCGTGAGCCAGTTGAACAGGATGAGACATTTTCTGCGCGGGTGGGTCAGCACAACACAGGAAGAGGGCGAGCGCGCCGCTCACCGAGTGAGCGAGAAGCCCGCGATCGTCGACTCGCAACGCTTGACGAGTTCCGCCTCCCATGCGGAGCGCGGTCTGCTGCGCAGGACAGAGCCCGACACCACCGAGTGAAAGAGGAGGTACATCCGCAGTGAATACTGTATGATTTTCTGTTGCGCCGCGCACATCGCGTCTCGTGAGATGCATGGGAAATAAAGGGTAGGTCAGACATACGAAAGCCTTGTCTCGTCCATTACTCGTCTTCAACAGTTCTCTCAATATGTCCTCCTTCCTAACCTTGTCCTCGGCCTCCGCAGACACCCTCTCGTCGTCCCCAGTTTCGGTGTCCTCCTCAGGCACTCGACTCTCTGATATCGTCTCCTCCTGCATCCTGCTCCCGTACATCTCCGTCCCGTAGATACTAGAGGTCGACATTGACGCTACGGACGGGCGCGGTGTGCGCGGCGGGTGGTGCGAGAGCGGGTTGACTTGGAACGACGCCCCGTCGAATGCGGGCGAGTAGCTGCGCATCTCGTGGCTCGACGAGGAGGCAGAAGACGGGAACCCTGGGCTGTTCGGGAACGTTATGGAGGACATGGCTCGCGTGTGCGACCGCCTCTGCGGCGTGGGGG